TTGCCGATGCAGTCAAACAGGGCAATTTCGAGTTGCTGAAGGGATGGCGCAATGAGATGTACCCCGTATACGGACCGGGAGGCGAATTCTTGTTGGAGATGGAGCGCAGCGCGTCGCCGCTGTTCGGCATTGTCACCTATGGCGCCCACATGACTGGATACGTGGATGACCCGTCCGGCCCGAAGATCTGGGTGCCGCGCCGCGCAAAGAACAAGCAGACATACCCCGGTATGCTGGACAATACCGTCGCGGGCGGGATGTGTACGGGCGAGATACCCTCTGAGTGCATCGTCCGCGAGGCCATGGAGGAGGCCTCGCTGCCAGAGTCGGTCGTGCGCGCCAATGTCGTCCCCAGTGGCTGTGTGACTTATGCACATGTTCGGGATACTCGCGCTGGCGGCGAGACCGGCCTGATACAACCCGAGGTTGAGTATGTCTACGACTTGAAGCTTGATCCGAGCGTTGTCCCTCAACCTTGTGACGATGAGGTCGAAGAGTTCAAACTGTTGTCTGTATCCGAGGTCAAGGAGGCGCTCAGCCGCGGCGAGTTCAAGCCTAATTGCGCCAATATCATGATTGATTTCTTTATTCGCCATGGCATTCTCACCCCCGAGAACGAGCCGGACTACCTTGAGATTGTTGCACGCTTGCACCGCCGCATGGATCACCCGACTGCATCGCATTGCAAATAGCTGGGGTTGTTGAAATTGGATATACATAGACAGTTGGGTAATTATATAAGAGAAGGCGTGCTGAGATCGGCAGATAGTAGTAGTTCATGACAATTCTTATCTGACTGACGAGATTCTATTGGTATACCCAAATAATGCAAAAATAAAACGCCGGCTGCACCACAAAGCTATTAACACTGTCCCAAAACCCCAAGATCCCCTCAACTTTTTGTTTTCTGTCAATTCAAAACCCGGCACGAATGACCTATTTCTTGAGAAGCAGGTACAAATGGTCAATCCTCAGTGGGGCCAGCTTCTTGTAGGGGCCCTCGAGATAGAGCAGCAGCCCTCCAAAGGAGACAAAGACGGCCCTAAAAAGAATAGCAACGTTAGCAGGATGGACTAGACTTCTCCGAAGCAGCACAGAGAAACTCTCGGACACTCACATCGTATCCTTGGTCGCACCCTCCTCAAAGCGATAAACCTTGCCATGGCAGACATAGTCATAGTCATTCGCCAGCGTCTGCTCGCCCATACTGACTTCCCTCCAGCTCGCGCGGGTATCCTCCTTGCCGTCGAGGGAGAGCGTCGATGCCAGCGCCAGCGAGAGCGACTCGCCCACGGCGCAGGGGTAGAGCTCCGAGTTCACATCCAGAGTGAAGGAGAGAGTGGCATCGGTCGAGCTGCATGTCAGTCGAGACACGCGGTCGTACTTTTGGGCGTTGATCGCTGTGATCGTGAAGGTGTCTTCGAACAGGAGCGGGTCCGACATGGTGGTGGGCGTTGATGGTTGAGTTGGATTGGCAGGGAGTGTGCGATGTGAAGCGATGCGCAAATTGGGTGGGTCCTCTGTGGTAACTCAGGCGCAATGGCTGGGGTGGTTGGGTTGAAGGAAGAGGGATGAAAGTGAAGGCGGAGTTTGACGTTGAAGCTGCTTTTTTTCTGCCGCGTTTTTTGGTCCCGCCGATAACCATGACCTGAACACTACTACTTACTACGTTGCTGCGGTGCTCATCATGTCCTTCCGCAAGCGCAATATCGGTCTATCGCCCGGCGTCGATCGTGCGGCTATACCTACTGCTTCCGAAAAACCTGCGCCCGAGTCGCCTGGCATTCGGCCCTCCCCCGATGATGGACGGCCGACGACTTCGACGGGAACCCCGTCGCTAGACGGTCTCCTCGCAGGCCATGCGGGTTTGCCAATGGGCAAGACTTTACTGGTGGAGGAGAATGGGACTACGGATTTTGCAGGGGCATTGCTGCGTTACTATGCGGCAGAGGGCGTGGTACAAGAGCACACGGTCCATGTGGTTGGAGTGCCAGAGCAATGGGGTCGCAGTCTCCCTGGCCTAATTGGGACTGCAGAGTCGGTGGAAGGGAAACGATCTGACAAGCGCAAGGACGAGCGCATGAAGATCGCCTGGCGTTATGAGCGCCTGGGCGAGTTTGGGGCTGGTGTTGCCGGTTCCCGGAATGGTGAGCATTAATAACTTCTCGAAAACATCTTCTCTGGGCACTGATAGCGTATAGTTCCGGCTGCTGGAAACCAAGACCCAGCTGCACCGCAGACACCCGCCTTCTGCCATGCCTTCGATCTCACCAAGCGCCTCGCCCATCCGTCCATCACCAACATGTCTTTCATCCCACTCGTGCCCTCCAAAGAATCACCGTTCATTTCTGTCCTCAATCGGCTACAGACTGAAATCGCATCCAGCGCTGCGCATACCATCCACCGCATCGTGATTCCCTCTCTACTCAATCCCACCATGTATCCGCCGGACACTTGCCAGCCCGAGCATCTTCTCCAATTCCTCCACTCCTTGAAAGCGCTGATGAGCGTATACACCACCCGCATCACCACAATGATCACACTTCCGTTAGCCCTGTTTCCTCGTTCGTCAGGTCTGGTTCGGTGGACGGAGCTCCTCAGCGACGGCGTCATCGAGCTCTGTCCCTTTCCACACTCGGCAGACGCACTCACGACATCCGGCGCAGCAACATCGCAGGAGGAGCCTCCTCAAGGGATGCTGAAAGTACATCGACTGCCGGTATTGCATGAGCGCGGTGGCGGTAGCGATCAGAATCTCGGGCAGGACTGGGCGTTTATTCTCAGTCGACGGCGATTCGAAATCAAGCCTTTCAGTCTCCCACCGGCGGATGGGGACACGGAGGCGCAGGATGCATCTGCACCTAGTGGAATGCCCAAAAAGTCCGATCTCGAGTTCTGAGAAATCAATCATCCTCTTCCTCGACGTGACGTCTCATGCCGGGTTCGGAGCTCGAAAACATGTCCTCCAGCTCGATCTGCTCCGACATTGCAGGTCCTGAGCTGGCCATTGTCCGTAGGTAGCTTGGCCCGTACGCATCAAGGCCCGGGCGTACGGAGAAGCCTCCCATGTGAGCGCGGAAACGGTTCCCCAGACACGAGGAGACGACTAGCCATGCTGTTCAATGTCAGTGAGCTGATCTTCATGCATGGAATGATGCAGTCGAACCTATGAAGAGTAGTAGCGGCGCAAAAAAGACCAGGAACAGCAGCAGCAGGAAATCCATGGCGATGGTGGTTGTCAGCGACAAGCAACCAGCCCGGAGCTCCAGGACGACTGGTGCTGACTCATCGGGTCTGCCGTCCCACTTCTTATTTTCCACTTTTTCTCGTTTCTCTTTCTTCCTACTCACACACCTTTTTTCCTCATGGTAAGTTTCTACATTTCCATTCCATCCCCTGTTTTGCATGATTATATATCTACAATCTGTCAATCCCCTGAAAGCTCGTCAAATTATCATTAAAAATTGAGCACCGGTGACTGAGAAACGTATCGAGAATGACTGCAAACCTACCACTTATTTTGGTGCACACTTGCCTCTTGAGAAAACATTGGCTAACTCGGACAAAAAGACTTGATGAACAGAAAAAACAAAGAATTATGGACTCCGATCCATCTCTCCCCATCCCGATCTCCTACATATCTAATAGATACCTCCTCTTCTCCATTGATGCCGTGACCTATCTGAGACGCGAACATCACATCTGCGGCGTGCTGATCGGGACGCTGCCGCAGATCCCCCAGCAGAATGTGTTTCTGGGTCTGCCGCTCGAGCTAATGCCCGAAGAGGCGCGGTTGCTGGTGGACAAAGGTGTAGCGTGCATCGTAGACGAAGCCAAGGCCCACGACGGTATGCGCTCTCTTCTAGAGGAGGACCGCGCGCGCTATCTGCGCGACCTAGAATCCCAGGGCCAGCATGCGATGCGCCTGCAGTCCGACCGGAAGGAGCAGAAGCGCGAGGAGGCGTTGAAGAAACTAGATGAGAAGAAAGCGGCCAAAGCGCGCAGTGCCCCGTCGGCATCAGTACAGACCGAGTCCTCGGCGGCCATTGTGGATATCTTCAACTCGGAACGGCGCAACAGCAGCGCCTCCCGGGATACTTCAACTTCAACCGCTTCCTCCAGAATGGGCATCACACCCGCAACATCCTACCCACCACTCCCTCCGCCCTCTTCTGCAACTCTTCACCTCCCCCCACCCTCCGTCCCGCCCTCATATCCTCTCTTCGCGCACTTGCATGCACGTGGCTATTTCCTTTCGCCGGGCCTACGCTTCGGATGTAATTACATGGCTTATCCGGGTGACTCTCTCCGCTTCCATGCACATTTCCTCGTCGTATCCTACGAGTGGGATGAAGAGATTGACCTCATGGATGTTGTTGTCGGCGGCAGACTGGGAACCGGTGTCAAGAAAGGCTTCCTTCTTGGTGGAGCTGAGAAGTCCAGACAGGAGGCTGAGAGCGAGGCGGATCGTGTGGACAGTGTGAGAACTTTTAGCATTGAATGGGCCGGGATGTGAATTGCTGGCCTGCCGGCGTTGCCAACAAAACTCCGACAACTACCACTTCTTGCTGCGAGCATTCTAAGCTTGATCGAATGCCCACAAGGCCCATCCGTGGGTTCGACCGCCAGGCTTCTGTGCGCAGGCATCACCGGCGATGTTTGTATCCCAATTCCAAGGAAGCGGAGCAAACTGGGATATGACATCGGTCCCTTACCTGGGCGGCAGTTCTACAGCTCCGAAACGAGCATACTCGGCAAATTGCCATTCATGACTCGGGAGAAACACGGGAACACAGCTTCGAGCGAGGCGTTGCTCAAGCAGTCGACATTTCTGCCCAAATTATGAGAGCGATTTAACGATCTCTCTATAACTGTCAATCATACACTGTGCCTGTCCACTGATAAGGACAGTCAACCACAATCATACATAATTCATGACATTCATTCCCGTAGCCGCATCATAGGGCACCCGGAGATACCACCCATAAACGAAGATCGCATCAAAGGTACTCGACATTCCTCCACTTAAACTTCTTATTCGCCCGATCGACGGGCCGATTCTGGAATTGACTGCCATGGAGCTCAAAGACCAGCGGCTTCGGAGTATTTTGGTCATTCGGTGCAGTCTCTGTACGTGCTTCACCCTCCGCCGACTCGACGGAAGGTGCGGGCAAAGGCACAGTGAAGCGGAAGATCGATTGTTCTTTGGGCACAGCTGCAAAACCCCCATTAGCTTCTCTGTCTGTCTCCCTCCGACGAAAATGGGGAAATAAAAAAACTCACTCTTCACTTCATCCTTCTCAGTAACAACCACAAAAGTAAACTTCGTATCCCTCACCACAATCCCCTTAATCCCAACCCTCCCAACAGCGGCACTCCTCACAACCTCCACCTCGGCGCCGTGGAAGTCCGCACTGACAAGCTTACTACCATGTGCCGTGGCGTTCACAGCCTTTGTTGTGGATCTAAGATCAAGAAGATCCTGCATATACCCCGTCCACAGCGCATGCAGCCCGCGAAAAAGTGCGTATTTGCATTCTTCGCGCGGGAGGTCGTAGATCCCCGAGGAGCGCTTCTCCCGCGCTGAGAGCGGGCGTGGCCGCTGGTGTCGGAGGAAGTATTCTTTCTTGCGAAGGCGGTGCTGTCGCCGCCGGGAGCGTTTGTCCGAGGCCGAGGGGGAGGTTGCGCGCAGGAAGAGCGGTTTTTGTTTTATGCGCTCGGTGAAGTGTTGGTTTGTTGTGTCGGGGGAATACGCGCGGGAGAGGAGGGTTTGGGCGATGTGCGTTGGTGGCTTTGGGGATGGAGATGGGGAGGCCATTTTGATTTGTGGTGGTTGTCGTGGTGGTGATGTTGAGGTTGAGCTTAGGCGTACGCCTACCTAGGCCTTTTGCGGAAGCGGCTCCTTGCGACCCCCACCCGGCTGCCCGAGCACTCTCTATACTTGACGGTTTCACTCCCGTCTTTGCCATCTTCACGGAGAATAATAATGACACCTCTCTTACACTGGCCAGCTATACGCTCAGTCTGGGGACCCTGGACTTCCGGCATACCTTGCTAAAGATAGTCGGCAGGGGCGCCACTGCGACTTGCTGCCATTGACTCTATTAGCTGGCTTGTTCACCCAAACTAGATATGTACAACTATTCATTCGGTTATTACATTAAGAGCTCTCTAAATGTCTAGTACAAACATCACTCTTGATAATTCGGGTTTATAATAATAAATCGGCTGTTCGTCTCCCTCGGCTGCCGACTTCCCCGCATCACCACCGTCATTCCATGCTTCACTTCTACGATATACCCTATACATCTTCATTTTGTGTCATATAGCCATGAATCAAGTGCAGCAGAACGAGGAATTTCCCGGCCTGCCTCCCTTCCCGGATGATGTGCCTACGGCGCCGCTTCTCAGACTCTCACTGCGGAAGTTGCTCGCCGGCGAGAACGCCGAAGTCGATAGATTATTCCAGGCGTCAGTGGACATAGGATTTTGCTACCTCGACCTCCACGACTCGGCTCCAGGAAAATGTCTCCTTGATGATGCAGACAATCTATTTCAAGTTGGGGAGAAGCTATTCGAGTTGAGTCTGGAAGAGAAGAAGAAGTACGACTTCAGCGCGCAGAACTCGTACTTCGGGTACAAAGCGCAGGGAGTGGCTATCGTTGATAAGCAGGGAACCCCTGATCGAAATGAGTTCTACAATGTGCGCACCTTTTTGACCCTTCCAGTATAGATAGCCCAACTGACACTTCAGTAGGTCGCAAAGGATGATATCCTCGGCATTAGTGACCCGCTTCCAGCGCCAGATGTCCTGCATCAGAGCCGTGAGCGTCTGACCTCATTCATGCAGGGCTCCCATGCAATCGTGACCCTCATTCTGAAGCTGCTGAATGACAAACTGGCTCTCCCGCCAGACACCCTTCCCAACCTCCACCGCCGCCAAGCCATCAGCGGCGACCAAGTTCGCTTCGTGAAAGCCCCTCCCCAACCACAAGACGACCGACGCACTGCACTCGGTCAGCACACGGACTTTGGCAGCGTCACGGTACTCTTCAACCGACTGGGAGGACTGCAGGTGCTGCCTCCGGGAGCCGACGCAGAATGGGTATATGTGCGTCCTTTACCAGGCCATGCGATTGTCAACCTCGGCGATGCATTGGTCAAGTTCACCAACGGGCTGTTCCGGTCGAATATCCACAGGGTTGTGTCGCCGCCGGGTGCTCAGGGCGACACGACGCGGTACAGTCTGGTGTACTTTTCGCGGCCGGAGGACAGCGTTATGCTTCGCCGTTTGGAAGGGTCGGATCTGATCCCGCGCATTGAGGACGGGCAGGTCGAGGAGGAAGTTAGCAGCAAGGACTGGATCATCCGGCGGGCGTTGGGCCGCAGGGTGGATCTGGCGGCCAGTATTGACTATGACAAGGCGGCAGGTACGGAGCAGATGAGCCGTAGGATTAAAGTTTGAACAGTTTGAGGTGTCAGGAGACGTATCAAATCAACAGGAGGAAGCATATCCGGTATTAATTATTATTATGTGACCATACTGTGTGCTTTGTGGTAGACTCCTCACGGAACAATCAAACAAAAGGACCCCCCGTGGACAGCCTCCTTTAAGCTCCAAAGGGCAAGAGGGTCTACTATATTCAGACCGTCGTCCTTGATTGGTTAGTGTTTCCACTGGAGAGCTCTGGGCATTGCAGACTAAATAACATAAATTTCAGGACTCGTCGGCGGTCTTGTCATTTACAGCACACCATCCACTATTTTTCAACGGTACCAAGTGTCGTACTTTCGGAGCCATGTGGTTTCATAATTGAGGCTACTGCTATAGCAGACGTGGAATCTAGGTTTGGGAAGGAAGAGATAAAATACCGATTAATATATTTAGTCCCAGTCCGAAAGGTTATCAATCCCTGTCGTTCCTTGCTCGTGAGGTGTCGTATATCCTGTCAAGCTCAATATAAAGCAATTGAAGGGATAGAAATGGTGGGCATTCGTCAGTATTGCGTGGCACAAAGCAATTAACGTTTGAGTCAATCTTAGGCCCTTTTTTTTCCCTATTTTTGTTTTATTTTATTTTCTTTTTATTGCAGCCAAGACGTTGATTTTTGCTGTCGAAGAAGGTTCAATGCTCAGGGAGCTTACCGGTCAGATTGGGTAATGACCGGTGATATAGTCGGCTACTCGAAGTCGGGCTCAACTTTACCAACAAGCGGCGGGCGCTGAGCACTAAAATGGAAAGAGGAAAGCCACCGGGCACACAAAACCCCGCTACATATGCGAGCCGACAGTTATTGTTGGTCCATGCACATATGACAGCCTCGATCATGGCATCCCGGAATTGTGGCTCGCAAATGCCGAGCTGCAGGGATCCCTTCCAGGAGGAAGCAAGTGGATCAAAACCGACAGTGTGGCATGACGTGCTGGTTTCTGAATAATAGAGTAGGAGTCGATTGCTGTCTAGGGGCTATGCTTGACGGCTGGTCGATCGATCAACGCTGCACGGTTAGTCTGCTTTTGCTTCCGACCGGACTGTATGATTTCTGGACTCTGTACGGAGCATAGTAGTACCATACAGATAGTGCACACAGACATTTATTATTGTTTAGAGTAGGCAAGTGGCCCGGCCAAATGATAATCGGATTCATCCTCCTGTCATCTCTCCAAATAGCTGCACTAATAATAAGTACCCTACGTACGGAGTATGTACCTATAACACATCCAATGCCGGACCCAGCAACCTGGAATCTCCCCAGCCTCTCTTTTCAAGCCCCCCTTGCTATCTGCCTTGCTGCCGCGTCCTCCTGTTGGATCCCGACAAACAAAGAACGATGGTAACCGGGCTGGCCCCGCGACAGCCCCAACTGACCGGTAGGATTATTGACAGGTACAAGGACGAATGAGGATCACAGCGGTGGGCACTTCGGAGTTGCCGACCGTCGGCCGTCACTTGTTCTGTACTACACAGCACATGGATCTCAGACACGGTGTCATTTTATCAAAAGCTGTGTGACCATATTGAAAAAATCAGTGAGTTTACTCACACTATTAAACCTCTCGGCAGTTGAAACCAAATTAGAGCACAGATTGTCTATGTACTGCAGTGAGTGGTATTTGTAAAGGCCACTCCGTAACTGACTAACTGTTTCTGAAAGAACACATAATCCTTCGAACGAATCCCCACCGATCTATTCCATGATAGGCAACAGTCTCGACGAGGCCCAAGCGTCGGCCCTTTTCCCTCCCGGAAATGCCTTTCCCAGCGGAAGGGTAAGTCATCCCCGCCAGTGGAACAAGGGCCCTGGTCGTCATTTGGTTCAGAGTGCTTACGCTCGTACTGTACACGGTCGAAGGCCGGTATTATAGAACAGGGTATGAAGAATATGTGCTTCGACGCAGTTTGCCTTGAGGCCTCAAAAGTGTGTTACTCCCTTGCATCTATATTGTTCAGTTGTTTTCTAATTTAGCGAAAGGGAATATGAACACATTATCATGGTAGAAACAAACCCATCCATCCTAGAGACAAATTGAAGACGGAAAGTAATCCACCTCGGCTCGGTCCGCAACCCCCGCATGGTTCGGCTCACTAACCCCCCGCCCTCCATCGATGAGGACCGAGATTCCTCTTGGCCCTCTTTCCGTTGGCTAGTGTTCCGTACGATTGCAACTAGGGGCACATTGTATCATGCCACAAGTCCGGAACATTATTCTGGGCTCTGACGAGGGGGCGGGGCCGTTGTATGACAGCTCGGCCAATTCTCCGTAGATTAAAGACGGCAGACTGCGGATGACTTCCGGACCTAGGTCCTGCCAAATCAGGCGATTGACATACTTTAAACAAAAGAGTCTAAACAATGAGTCTACGGGGAGGTTATCGGACATGTCTTGTAACAGTAATTGGCGTTCTTTTTCGCAGACCAGCGGGTCAACGAGACATGTGCATTTCCATTATGTCTTTAGGCAATGATTGGGAGATAGGTCTGTCTGAGATCTGTTTAAATCACATTGCTGTAGTTGAGCGCGACAGCTAGCGAGCCAACGCGGCAGGCTGCAGCAGCGTTCATGATCAAAGGGCTGCAGCAGCGTTCATGATCAAAAAACACTTCGTCAATGCCCGACTGTCAACGAGGTCAATCTCTCCTCCACATGCCGGATAAGATCTGGATCAAATTCTTTCTTGACTTTCTTCGGTGGATCTCGTATCGTTTCTTCGCATTTGCTTTGGCCGCATTTTATGCATGAAGATGCTCCGTCGCGATATGTCGTTGAACAGACGTGACAAATGTACCGGTATCGGCGCCGTGGTTTCTTCCACTCGCGATTCGGGAAAGGTTTGGGAGGGTCGACATCACCAGGAAATCCATTGGGATGTTTTCCTGGTTTAGATGGATCGCGAGGGCAGATCTTGCATCGGGAATGCTTGCACTTCTCACACTCTTTGGATCCAGGTGCAAACATAGTCTCGCACTGGTGGCAGAGGCGGCGGACACGCTGACGGATAGGTTTGCGAACAAGATTCTGGCCACCCGTGGGCGATGGTCGAGTAAGGAACGCAGCGGCGCTGCCAGAGGACCGCAGTTGCGAGGCCAGGTTCATAGGGAAGTCGCCGCGCTGGCGCAGAATCTCGGGGATCTTGGCCTTGGGAATCGGCGGCTCAGCGGACGTCGACTCGTCTTTGGTACGGCCGGGAGGGAAGCGCGGGCATTTCTTGCAGCGTGGGTGCTGGCAGTTGACGCAGACCTTGTCTGGGCCAAAGGTGGTCTGGCAGCGGTGGCAGCTGCGGCGGACACGCATGCGAACGGGCTTGGTGACTCGCTGCAAAGGCAGGTCGGTGGGCGATTTCCACTCGCCGGGCTCAAGAGTTAGGCCATACTTGGCGAACACGGCGCGGGCCTTCTCCTTCTGCGCGGTGCCATAGTCCGAGAGAATCGGGGCGGCCGCGGTAGAGTGTCTCTGCGGTGCGGCGGAAGCACTATTGGGGGAGAGACAAATGTTAGAAAGATTTTCATATTAGGATAGTTGGTTGAGCGTACCTTGGCCTGCCTGTTAGACCAGACAGGTTGGACACCGATAGACGTTTGGAACCAGAACGGGTGCGCAGAACGGTCTTCATGCGCTTCAGATACTTGGAGAAGCCCTCAGGCTTGTCCTCGCCGGAGGGACCGGGGTTGGTAGACATCGTGTCCTTGTCGTTTAGAATAACGATCGATCGCAGTTCATCATCTCAGCAGGAGGTTTGTCAGTCGTCTAGACAAGGGTGAATATTTGATGGCGGAGTAGGTTAGTGGAGTCTTGAGGAGCGAGACAACGAGAATAAGAAGAGTAGAGCAATTATTCGTTACGGTAACTCATAATACCGCGAGTGGAGTCGTCAAAGCTCAGGCTCCCGGGCACATGGGGCTGCTGGTGTTCCGACACAGTGGTCCCAGGTAATATTACTGATTCCTGCAGGGGTTGGCGTGGGTTATTGTAGTCCCCCAGAATGGACTGCTCCGGGGCGATCTTACAGGATGCGGCTTGGGCCGAGCACGCCGTCGAGACGAGTTGACACTAACTCGGAAAGATCGGTCCAGATCCTCCAGTACCTATTATTACGATGTTGCTGTACTAGTATCCTTGTCTAACAATCCGATTGTCACCGAAGACAAAGAGGCTAAATCTAGGATCAGTGACTGGCCCGGACCCGAGCGGGCTCCGTCCGACGTTTCGTGATGAAGTTTCTCCTGATCATAAATCGAGAAGAATAAACTTCAAAGCTCCTGCCGTTTCGATCGAAGCCTCCGCCACCATCCATGCATGATGCAAGACACCGGAATTCTATGAGAATAATACTGGAATGATCATCGCCCCCCTCTCTCCCGCCATTACAGTACATGTATAGGCTAACTATCCCTCGTTGCCCAACGGTCCCACACTTTGGTCCGTGTGGCGCTTTGACCGGGGGGTCTCAATGTTCTCCCGTGTCGCGTTCACACAACTGCATAGCGAGGACGCGTTAAAGGTATGACAAAGTTAATTGGTGATTATGGCTGTCGACTACAACTCACATACAGGTTGAGATGTTTACCAGCTGAATCCATACATCCTCCGTACATCCGTCCCGACGGCCGCATTCACCGCCACCGTCAGCTGAACCAGCCAGCTGGAACATGGAGATTCTTGGGTCCTGTTGGACAGGAGGGTTCGTCCCAGCACCAGAGAAACAGTCCGCCGTGACAGGATGGTCAATGCGATTTCCAGCCCGCTGGGACGTTCAGCTCCTTTTCCCACCGTATTTCCCTCCAGAGTACGACCGATCGCTCGCTCCACCAAGTGGGCCTCGTGCGCCGCGTTCATTGCCCCAGGCGGTATTGGGGGCCGATCCTGGAAAGAGGCGATTGGCACGTCTAGCGAAAGGATCCGCTGTACTCTATCGACCGAAGTGTGTGCATTACATACATTACTATGCAGTGGGACCATGCATCAACAGTGAGCGGTGGTTTGCAAATGATTTACTCCTCAATGTGATCGAAGATCTCTCATCGCTAAACCGCATCTTGGGTCTTAGAGCAGACCCAGTCCGCTGGGTACATATAGGTGACAAGAAGAATTCAATAGTTCGGCTTACATGCTCTTTCGTGCCAAATTAATTTTGAGCTCGTCATCATCTCATGAACTATGATCATCCATCTTATAACCGATGAGGCATACTGCGGCAGGGAGCCTAGTCCCCACGCTCAGACCCTACCCTTGACAAGATTACTGTTCTTCAGGCACAGGTACAAATGTAAGGAAGCATTGATAGAAATCGAAGGAACTAGATCAAACTATAAACTTCAGAACGTACTTGTTTATATGCGAGGCACAAAGTTCCAACGGCGCTCGGCCCCAACAAAGTACGCCTAGCTGTGTTCTGACAGGATTGATCGGCCGCCTTTTCATCTGCCTCTAAACTACTGTTTCAACCTGCTCTAGCCCGACCGATCTAGGGCCACACAGTGCCCTGTCCGGATATATCTCTTCCAGGTTTCCGGAATGATCTGCGCTACTATCGTCTCTAGATCACCGACTTTTAACTATAGCAATAATGACAGCCGCTGAACACAGGAGACAACCCAAACATCTTGATTATCTCCCTATCGCAGTCGTGATGTTCAGAAGAGATGGGTGCTTGGAGGGTAGCTGCCTGAGGTTTGCAAGGATTTTATCGTGAACACTGTCGTGAATGGCTCTGTGACCGCTGTGATGGCTTCGGCTATGAAACTGCGGCCCAGCATGGAGTGGGATTGACAAATAGTGAGCCACCATACACAAAGAAGAGTTTGTTGGAGACCATAGTGGACTGGGATTCAAAAAGAAGCGTTGAAGAAGAGTAACCCAGCACGAGCAGAGCACGTCTTGTTTGAGTTCCTGACGGATGAGGATATCGCCCATATCCTGCTAGAAAAAGCAAACAACTTGACCGTTGGGAGAAAGGCAATATCAATTTCCTCTTTCCTCAGCCCTGTTCTATCCCGAGACACGTCTATGATTTCTTTGTTTGCACGAAGCAAACCAGACAGCACATCTTCTGCTTTGTTTGTCTCTCTCTTCTTTAAATGCGTCCCTCAACCCCTTCCACCTTCATTATTTCTTCCATCTTCCTCCCCAGCTTCCTGTGGCACGTCCTCCAAAATGGCCTCCCGGGAGTTCAGATCCCCCTTTTCAACGCTTCCAGACGAACTCGTCACGCAAATCCTGAACTGGTCCACATTCGATAAATACAGATTTCCCTCCCGTGCCTTTTGCGTCATCATCTCTCTGGCACTAGTCTGTCGTCGCTTCCACCGCATTGTCACGCCTTTCCTATTCGAGGATATCGGCTGCTCCAAAGTCGATCATACCATCGTGCCTCCCTGCGAACAGATTTTACAGCTGCACCGGGTTCTCAAATACAACCCACAGCTTCGGTCAAAATGCTTCTACCTGTGCATCGAAATCGACCATCATGCCATTACAACAAACGAGGACTTTGCGGTGGCCCGTGACCTTGTCTCTTGGTTGACCAACGTACGGACTCTGTTGCTTGTAGGCGGGTTTGAGAGGTGGCGTGCTGTCGGTCCTCGTCGAGGCGCGTTAGCACCGAAGCGGAGACATCGCCAAAACGTGTTAAACCTGATTCGCCATGCCAGCCAAAGCATGCCAGCGCTCAAGGACTTCCAGATCATTGATGTAAGTGACGCCGATATTCCAGGGATCACTTTGGCAGAGGCCATGGACTACATCGAGTTTCCGTCTCTGGAGGAATTGAATCTACACATTAATGGACGTTCAGATTCCGCTCGAATTTCGAAAATCGCAAAGGTGAGTATCCCGACTCCTACTCTTCCATCTCTTTGTGCCTAGAGCATAGTTTGATACGATTATAGAAATCTCGATGTGCACCAATGAAACGAATCAGTCTCAATTATTGCAAAGACACACACGAGGCACTTATCGAATTTATTCGCTGGCCAAAGGCGCTGACGAGCCTGGCTATCCGCACCAAAGGAAGACATTTGGATCCATTTGTTCCATATGACTTCCAGGAATTGTTCTCTGTTCACAAGGACACTCTTACTTTCCTTAATATCGAGCTGGGACGCAATGGATCACTATTCGACGTCTCCAACTTCCCAAACCTCGAAGTTCTCGAACTGTCCCGGGGTTGGGATCCACTCAGCAGAGCGCTGAAATGGTCGCCTTCCCATGCAGATCTCCTCCTCGCTCCTAATCTGCACACCTTGGTCATAAAATTTGACGCTTGTACCGAGTCCCTAAGACACCTCCTTAATTTCGGAGACTTGGAAGAGGAGTGGAGTCGTGAATTCGCTAGAACTGCCGCGGTGATAAACTCGAAGCTGGCGTGCATCAATCTCCAGGTTGGCACGTCGTCTTGCGAGATCTCTGGAACCAATGGGGAATCGCAATCGCATGCCCTCGCAGACCTCGCGGGTGACATTAAGATGTATGGGGTGACATTAAGACACAGCGAAGAATTGAACCTAATAGGAATGGTAGGAGGCCATGCAGATTGGGATGAGGAAGAAAACATTGATGGGAGGGAATATGGAAGTGATGCGCTGTGAACAAAAGCCCGCCTGTGGGCAGTGTTCCATTTCAAATAGGAAGAATAGCGGCTGGGTTTAAACAGAAGCGTGCTCAATCAATCACTAGTTTTTTCAACTATGGCATATTCTGATAATCATAAAAATCATGACCACCACGGCTAGCTAGGGTGATATATATGTGCCCTGCAAATCAACACCATCCAACCAAACGCCCGCTCTATACAGAAATGCTGGATACAGGACGTAGCGTGAAGCAGCATCAAATAGTGGTGTACGCCATCATATTGACGGGCTCTGTAAGATATAATTCACTCTCTTTTGCGCTAGTCGGATCGAGCTGCTGCAAGCAGAGTGCGAGTTGAATTATGTGTTTCCTGGTACCAAACTGACGCGAAACGCTTACTCCGAGCCGGCCAACCGAGACTCGATAGACGTGACATCCTCATCGCTGTGCACCTCGACCACCCGATTAACCTCCGCTGTGCTGCGCATCAGTTCTACCGCGCCGGCGTACATCATCCGCTGCGACGGGTTGCAGTTTTCGGGCAGGTAGTAGAGGAGGACGTAGGGGACGGCGAGACGGCCGGAGCTCTGTAGTACAGCCACAGTGGATAAGTATATAAATAGCATGCAATAGGAAAGAAAGGGGGCGGATTGCAGGCACTACTCACGAGTGTCAACGGGTGACTGAGGAGGACGAAGCGTGGGGAGGACTCTGGGAGCTCGTCGGCCACGTCCTCCATCTTGGTGTAGACTTCGCCATCCTCGGGCCGGATCTCCTGGGTTTTTGTGTCGATTATATCTGCACGCTGGTTAGAAAATTCTCTCTGTGGGGTGTGTGTAGGAGGTGAATCGCACAGATGATGGCCTGGGGATCCTTTGCTCGCGAGGTGCTTAGGCGGAATTTGCGCAGCTTCTCCCTTGTCTCTGGGGAGAAGGAGTATAGCCGCGATTCAGACTAGTGACAGGTGTTAGCAATGTCTGTTTGCACTCAGCAGAGAGTGGTTTGCCTACCATTGTTTGTGATCAGTGTGTTGGTTGAGGGGAGAGAGATGGCAGAGGGAGAACGAAATAGTCATGCGGGACCCCATCCCCCCCACTCCTTCACTGTCTTTCTGTTTAACTCGTCTTTCTTTCTCTCCTTACCTACTTAAACCCCCCATCCCCACCTCCCTACTCATGCTCAACCGTCTAGCCCACCTCACCCGCCATCTCCCCCGTTCATCATCACTCGCATCATCGCCTACCCTTCGCCCGCTCTCCTCAACCCTGGTCCCGCGCCCAGGTCCGCCCGCGATGACATCAGCGAAACCAATCCACACGGCCGCGTGCCTGATTATCGGCGACGAGGTGCTGGGCGGAAAGGTATGTAGACTACAATCTAACTATCCTATATCGATTACTGTGCTAATCAACAACATGAACGCAGACCATCGACACCAATTCGCCCTACCTCGCCAAGTTCTGCTTCGGGCTCGGCATCCAGCTCAGGCGCGTGGAGGTCATCCCGGATGATGAGGAGGATATCATGGAAGCCGTGCGCCGGATGAGTGCTCGCTATGACTTTGTTGTTACCAGTGGAGGCATTGGACCTACGTTCGTACACCCTTGACAGCCAGCAAATTCCGTCTTGGATGGAGGAGGGAGTGGACTGAGTCTAACATGGAAAACGGAACAGGCACGACGACATCACCTACTCCTCCATCGCCAAAGCCTTCAACCTCCCGCTCAAACTGCACGCGCCAGCCTTCGAGCGGATGAAGCAACTCTCACGCCCACACCCTATGCAACCAAACTTCGACTGGGAGACGCCCTCCCCAGGCCTAAAGGCCAAGCTGCGCATGGTCGAACTGCCGCATGACTCCGCGCTCCCCGACGAGGCACAAGCGATCTTCGTCGCGGACGACATGTGGGTTCCCATCGCAGTCGTGAACGGCAACGTGCACATCCTCCCTGGGGTGCCGCGCCTATTCGAGCGACTGCTCGAGCACCTTAAGCCCCTGCTGACCCCCCGGCTGGCGGATCCGGAGGGTAAGGGGACTTTCCGCATTATGATTAGTACCCCGTTGCCGGAGAGCGCGGTGGCGCCGTATCTGACTGAGCTTGCGGGCAAGGTTGAGCCGCTTGGTGTTAAGGTGGGTAGCTATCCGCGCTGGGGGAAGAAGCGGAATACTGTTACTCTTGTTGGTGCGGACCAGGCGTATATGGAGTCATTGGTTAAGGAAGTTGAGGAGGGTGTGCAGGGAAAGAGAGTTTCGAAGGAGGATGAGTTGGATCCGCCTTCTCATAAGGATCAGGTGTATAGTCAGTAGGAAGGATATGTAGCGCATGGCGAGGCGGGGGGAGAAGCGATTGTACATCATCTTTGATCTTGATTGCGCAACGGCCTATATCTACTGCATTTGTCTGATATTCCCCGATATGGCACCATAGAAGGGTGGGGGGACAAACCTGCAGCGCTGCGCAAGAACATATAGCATGGCCTTACGAATGCTACGGCGGACACGGAAACAAGCAGACAGAAACCCTCAAGCACATTCCACATTGAACAGAAAACACGCGCCATGAGATATAGAGAGATAGCGAGGGAAACGGACCCTGCATAGAACATATACGGACGATCAGATGCCAGGACCAGACAAGTAGATCAACAAGACAGACAAATGGGGACAATATTCTTTCGCGACAGATAAAAAAAAAAAAAGGGAAAAAACGACGCACGCGGGTGCAACAAAAGGGGAATCAAAATGGTTCATGAGACGAGGGCTGGCGTCAAGAGTCGGCATTTGGTTTTGGTCTGCGATGAACCCATGTCAAAAGGAAATGCGCAACGCAAATCAACAACAAGCCACTGGGTTTTTGGTTTCTGTGGTTTATCCGGATCGACCCCCAGATGGTCGTAAACTCTGCCCCTACTACCAATCTCCGTTCTTTTTTTGTGTGCCTCGAACTTGTGCGCATCATATCGTATGTGTTGCGAGACCGGCGGAAAGTCCCTTTACATAATGACGCACTTGGAGCAGCAGCCGGCGCTCTCGCCGGGCTCGCTGACGTCCATCTTGCCGTCTGGCTGGCGGGCACCGTAGGCGCCCGAGCCGGCCGGGTACGAGGACATTTCCTTGTTGTAGCGGCGAATCTCGCGGACGAGGTCGTAGAAGGCGTTCTCGACGTTGATGCGCGACTTGGCGGAGGTCTCGATGAACTTGCAGCCGAACTGCCGGGCCAGGGCCTCACCCTCTGCGGAGACACACACGTATTAGCCTCTTCTTTCTTTTCCACGGATCACTTTATTACTCACCTTGCTCGGAGACCACGCGCTCCTTCTCCAAATCGCACTTGTTGGCTACAACAATAATGGGGAAGTAGTCCTTGTCCTTGACGCGCAGGATCTGCTGTTGGAAGGTCATGATCTCTTCAAAGGATTGGCGCGACGTTATCGAGTAGATGAGCAGGAAGCCCTCGCCAGTCCGCATATATTGCTCTCGCATTGCCGAGTACTCCTCCTGACCGGCTGTGTCCAGGACGTCTAACAAGGCGACCTCATCGTCGATCACGCACTGCTTGCGGTAGGAGTCTAGGCGATGGATCAGTGAGTGAGCGAGTGGAATGAATGAGTGGGATTTGTCAGGGCTCACCTTCAATTGTCGGGTCGTATTCATCGACGAAGTGGCTCTGGATCAGCTGGATCGTCAAGCATGACTTTCCGACACCACCACCGCCGACAACGACCAGTTTGTATTCTCGTAGGAACTATTGCAGGCCAGAAAATTCTGGGTCAGCCATTGAGTGGTCTTTGGAAGGGTGGGATTGCAGGCGATGGGGCCAGCAAGGAGGTCTCGCAGGGTCTGGGCGTAGGGCTTGATGGCGGTCTGGGGGATGTTTGAGCGGGCTTACCTTGGAGGCCATGACGGGTGAAATAATCTATGGGAGGGGGAGAGTGTGTGTGGTTGTTTGTTGATGTGGATGGGTGCGAGCAGAAGACGGGGGGATGAGCAGTCGAGCGAGGGAGGGAATGGAGACGAGGAACGAGTAAGAAGGGAAGGAAGATGGTTGGTGCGAGTGATTAGGGGGGGCAGGGTGGGTGGGTTCGGCAGGGGGAGAACCGCTAGGGTTTTTGTCCAAGCTTCTAAGTGGAGAGAAGCAATATACAAAGAGAGGGAGTCAATCTGTGTGAGAGTGAGAGAAGAGAGAGAAGTGGTGAGAAAATAGTTACTCGGAATAAGTTAGTGGGGAGAGTGAGAAAGGGGGAGAGCGTGATCCGCCCGTGACTGACGGACTACATCCTACTATCCTATCGTATTGAGGATTGTCGTTCCTCCTACGATCAGCAGCATATTTTCTCCGGTCGCATTATTCACGTCTCCCATTATTATTATTTTTACCCTACACAACGACTGCAAGTGGATCACCCTAGTGGGGGATGGGTCTCTCCAGCATCGATCACGGATGATGTAAGGGCGTTTGGACGTGTCTCGCCGGACGCCGACATCTACAAACACACGGGGCGAGAGAGTCCGTTCAACTGACTGCACCAGGCAGAAAAGGGCGAACGACTACTGCGCTGCTCATCACATCACTCCGTTTCATAATTCCATCCATGGGTTCATCGCAAACTCAATTAATTTCCCCCTCACACAGTAACTTTTTCTAGAAAAAGTCACGGAACAAAGTTCCATTGTCCCCAGACCAGACCCAACGGCCTGGGTACTCACTGTCAGTCTAGCCTAGACTGGAATCAAATCTCTGGAAATCCAAACGCACTACACCATGCAGGTGGTGGACGGAGGCAGGGATCAGACTAGGGTCGATGGAGAGCGGCCCATTCCATTAGTTATATGTTATCGCCAGATGTAGTGGCTTGGCGAGGTACATTCCTATCAGGTAGCAGTCTCGATTGAGCAGCGACAACAGCCACATGTAATCATCAACAGCTACCCCTCCTCAAACAGACTACTATATTCTGAAAAACGGCGACCCCCTGACAGATTAGGGCAAGTCATCGCCAAAGAACCGACCCGACCGCCTTCGGCCCAAATAGATACAAGGAGGAGAATACAAGTCTTCGAGAAGAGCTACAGATTCGCACGACCTTCCCCGCTGCGGGCGAGGGTGGCCCAAAAGATTGATGCTTCGCATGGTGCAACCATGTACAAAAGAGATGCTATCTATAGGCTGTTTACACTCCGGCCCGTCGCACCGGACATTTAGGACTTGCGGTGCATAACACCAGCAGCCGCCTGTTCAGTCGTTAGTGAGCAACGGTTTCTCTTCGACACCGAGCAGAGGCTTGCTTGCTTACCTGGTGGCTGGGGAAGACCAGGGTGTCAGCAATCACGACATTCTCCCGCCGTCCAGCGGCGAAGACAACGACCTCGGCAATGTCCTCGCCAGTCAAGGGCTCACAGCCCCTACAACAATCATCAGTCAGCTGGAGCTGTACGTCAGTCAAGGAATCAAACGTACTTGTAGACGGCATCGGCCTTGTCCTTGTCGCCATAGAATCGGACAACGGAGAACTCCTGCGGGGATACATTAGCAAAACGGTAACATTTCTGAGACACAGCTCGTGCGCACCGTCTCGACCTGACCGGGGTCGATCTCAATAATGCGAATTCGAGACGCGATGAGCTCCTTCCGCAGCGCGTCCGTGAACGAGCGCACCGCTGCCTTGGTGGCACAGTAGATGCTGCCGCCAGCGTAGGGCTCGCGACCCGCAATGCTGCCGATGTTGATGATATCACCACGGCCGCCCTCGGGCCTCTTCTGGAAGATAGGGAGGATCGCCTGAGTCATGTTGATCAGGCCGGTGACGTTGGTATTGAACATGATGTTCAGGTCCTCGCTAGCGATTTCAGGTGCCTTTGCAACGCCCTTGACCAGGCCCCTAAGAAAGGCATTAGAAAGAACTATATCCCACCGGATACGTTGTCAACTCACGCGTTGTTGACCAAGACATCAATCTCCTTGAACTCCTCCGGCAATGAAGGAACAAAGTTCTTGATTTCCTCCGGATTACTGACGTCTAGCTTAACCGGAAGCACCTTGACGCCATTGCCGACCTCCGCGTTGATCTCCGCCGCGACCTGCTTCAGGGTGTCGATGCGGCGGGCGGTCAGAATCAGCTTGAGGTTCTTGGGCGACGTGCGCGCAAACTCCTGGGCCGTGGCCTTGCCAATACCCGACGATGCGCCGGTCACGACAACTGTCTTGCCTTCGAGGCGTTTGGCCATTGCGGACGCCATGGTGCGTCGGAGGGTGAGTGGATGGGTAGGTAGAGTGAAGGGGTTGGGCCGTGAGAGCGGAAAGGACGAGAGATGGCGCAAGTATCCAATTGATCTGGCACAAGTTCGTAGATGGTTCATGGAGACAATTCAAAGTAGAAAGGAGAGGAAAGAAAACATTCGGGCGAGAGGCTGCGGGGAATCGTGCTGGCGTCATACCGGGCCGGGGTTATGTAATCGGAGTTCTTTCCGATCTATAAAATAGTTTATTTTATATTGTTTCGAACTGGATACTGTTGGAAGGAGCTGTTGGTATTGAGAAACAGCTGTTATGAGTGCATTGCTAGTCTGTATTGAATTGAAGGACCGCGAAACATGGTGGTGTATACCAAACAAAGAGCTGTCTTTGTGTTTCGATATAGTCTGGCAGACTCTGAACAAAGCAATATGCCATCAAAGAAATTGCCAGAGAACATATCAAATAATTAAATAGTATAATCAAGCACGTTTAACAAAGGTGGCATTGTGGTGTGTTGCTATTCTGGCAACAATGCGAGTCGAAGTTGAACATGCAGATGTATATAAAGCAGAATCGACTGTACTGTCTTTGGATTAAACTGCTGGAGCTTTCCAGTAAGTAGATTTGCTGGAATTATTCCATCCTATCTATGTTTGTTATAAAAGACTGAGTGTACCCCAAAAGAGAAGGTGCTGGGTGCCTTCTCAATTCGATATATATACTTGTTGTATTTGCCTACGGCAACCGCACTCCGCCACATGACAACAACAGTATCTTCACATCATCACGACTCTCCAAACATTCTTAACCTGTTATTCCTTCACTACAAACTGCATCTACTCACTGAATACGCCATTTCACCATGGTGGACCAGGTAAATATCCTCATGTTGTGCTGGTTGCTACGGAGAGCTTTGCTAATCAGTGGGGGATATAGATAGGCCAACATCTGGATATTCTTGCCAGAGACTATTTTGATTGGGCACAGGATGTGGAAGAAAATATCCAAAGCAATTCTATGCGGCACACCGATCCCGTTCTTGACAAGACCGACCCCCGAGCGAGTCCTTGCCAGAGGATCATGAACACGATGACCTCGACGTTCTTTCCCTTGATTTCTTTGACTGGGCCGAAGATATGGAAGATGAAATCCAGAGCAAATTCCCTCAGAACAGTGAGTCCACCATCCAGTTGTCGGATTCCATCAGTGGCTTCTTGCCTGAGGAACACGAATACACTGAAGACTCCGATGATCTCTCTGATCCGGAAAGCACGCACAGCGAAGCATCTTCGAACACAAGACAAGGCTCCCTACTCATAATCGACGGTTCATCACACCAGTATCCGTACACCGCATTCCCTTCCCTTCCACCTAATGTCCAAAATGAGCTGGCTTATCGAAACTACTACGTCAAAACCGAAGAAGGCGAGGAGCACAAAGTGCACCATTTCAACTGGATGGGGAATCCGGTCTACCAGCACAGCTCAACACCTCCCACCGAATCTCTCGCACTCATTCTCTCCGATCCCAAGGTCCCACAACAAAGCGATGAGCACCGCATACAAGCCATACTTGGCTGTGCATTTGCCTTCCTCGATCCTGTAGTGGTCAACCTCTACGACGAATACGAAGATTCTCTTCTCCAAATGCGCGGCTCGAAGCTTGTCCGAGCTGCCAAGGGCCGAGTTTTCAAGTACTATACTCCCCATGGCCAATGGACCGGAGACGGCCGCGACCAAGCCGGCGAGACTGCGCTTGACGACGCAAACCCGAGCACATACTACTGCAACCCGGACGTGGCTATTGGGAATGGACTCGTCGAGACCAGTGTGCTTCCATCTCGGATGCAATACCGGGAGCGCCAGGAGGAACTGGCTGTGCGACACTACCCAAACAGAAAGCACAATGGGTGGCAGCCTGCCCCGTCTCGGCTCCGAGAATCCAGGACTATAGAGCAGGAAGCGGTCTCCCCTTCTCCCATCACCATTGAAACTCCCACTACTATCTGCGAGCTCGTGACTGCCCAGAAGCCCGCACCGAGCCTGAAGACTCTCGACCCTTCCAGAGACCCCAATGTTTACTACTCTTTCCCTGACCCTGGCTTCGAAAAGCCTAGGCGGGGGTTTCTACTGCGCCTGCGCGCAAAGAAGATCTCGGTGCGGAAGGTGTTCACACGGGCACTGACCGCACTGGGATCTGTGTGGCAGGACCAGTCGCTGGTCCTGTGGTGACTTTTAGGATTGTGTAAGGGCAGGCTTCTTCTTGTTTGATCTGTTTTTTTTTTTTTTTTTTTTGTGAAAAGGCTCAATTGATAGAAAGGATGGTGCTTTTCCCGTCCAAAATAGAATGTGAGATCTATGTACAAAACTGAGAGTCATGTTTCCAGATCAGCACGTTGGTGGCCGATCCATTTAGATTGATTGCACTGTTAAGTGATCTACGCCAGTGGGCATGGAGTTGTCCTATAGGGTTCATGGCTAGAAAGATCGACACCTCGGGTTGTACCCAGGAGAAGGGTCCCTCTTGTCACTGAATACCCAGCTAAATATTCGAGCTTGACAGTTGTCTATGGTTTATCTACCTACGCTTTCTTGATATTTTAAGGAATAATCACATACAATTGACTATACTATGAGCTGTGATTAATTGGGTGGAGGCCACAGCCGCGGAAATTGCTCGAGTCTAGCGGTACTCACTATTGTCATAGAAGTGACAACAGTAAATAGTACAGCAGCGTCAGCTAACTCTGACAAGTGCATGAACGCGCAAGTTGCCGACAATTTTTCCTTCTTGGACACGAGGTCATATGCAAGTTATATGTCGATCAGAATCATTCGGCAACAGATCTTGCGAGATTTCGAGCCTTGAATCTGAACGAAAAGGGGGAGAATAATGACAATTGTCTGTGCGTTGGAAAAATCTGACCACTTATGCATACATCGCGAACGGACTGGGGAGATGAAATCCCGCGGTGGAGATTCCCAAAGGCATTATTGAAGCTTGTGGCGTTTTATGAAGCATGTGGAGGCGTTACCAAGGACCCGGAAAACTTCATCCAGATCACCGGCGCTTGCCTTCTGCCGGACTAGGACTCGATGAATATTTGACTAGTAACTAAAGGGTGGCTGTGAGCTTATTAACTAACATCCAGCTCAATCCCTCCACGATACGGTAGACGGGTGATCTGAGGAAGTGGGTTCAGGGGGTAAAAGGTAAAAGCTGTGGGGTGCTCTATTGTTCCTGATCTGCTTTGGGCTTAGCCAGAAAAGGAAACGATGAGCATGACCGTGAGCGCGGAGCGGAGACTGTTGTCCGTCAGTCGATGTTAAGTTTTTTTCTTTCTTTCTGTATATTAGACTATCACATTCATTAAAACAAACGAGACCTCGGATATATGCAGGTTGGGTTTGGTCCATGCCGCTTGTTACTCACAGGGTTCCCATTATCCAATTTTAGGAGGTCGTCACTGCGCAGGCGTAAGCGGAGTACATAACTGCGGTATGACGGGCCAAGTTTTATGACCCAGGGCTTGATAGAGCCTTACGGAAATGTACTAATTAGGTCCTTCGATCGATGGGTTCCATGTGTCTAAGGGATTCTCCGCCTCTCGCGCCACATGGTGTGCGTTGGACCTGGAGAAGGGTCTGGGCGTCAAGGAGATCGCGGGCCATCGTGCGCTATTGAGCAGACTATCAGAGTGGCACGGAGATCCGAGGCTGACGAACACCCCATCTGCAATCTCAACCTCGCTGACTCCACTTCAAACTGTGCAAGATTCAAAAACCTTCCGTGTTCCCCCACTTGTTGCTTTCTTTTGTCAGAATCCGTCCACCAGATTTTGAGGTCTCGACTCAATGAAACAGATCCGCTTCATGAGAGGGTGTGCTTCTGTTGTTCGGATATGATCAGTTGATCTAACTACGCTACTTTGATATCTTTATTTTCTTACGCACCTCTACTCCCTCGTTTTTTTTTTTTTTTTTTTTTTTTTTTTGCAATGGATGTGTCTCTACACACGATGTTTCCTCGACAGGAGGACGATGGACATGCCCGCGGCCAGCGAGCGTTAGTGGTGACGGCGGTGCTGACTGCAATTGCCACGACGATAGTCGGCATGCGGCTCTTTGCCCGCGCTGGCCTGATGAAAATCATGGGCCGCGAAGACTGGGCCATTCTGGCTTCTCTGGTCTGTCTCTCTGCAGAGGTCCAGGATATGCGGTAACTAATGTGTGACTACTGTAGACCTTTTCGATCATTTATCTCGCGCTTGTTGCTGCTCGTGAGTTCTATACTTCCCTATCACGAAGGTATCAATTGACATTGAGACAGAATTACATTTCGGCATGGGCACACATTCAGCAGATCTGCCCGTAGCTATGCTACAAACGCAGCTCAAAGTAGGTCCTCACCATATCCATATCAACAAACATCAAATTGACACTATTGTCACAGTGCCTCTGGGCCGCAATCCCAATGTACAACGCCAGCCTAGCGTGCACTAAATTTTCTATTCTCTTCCAATACCTCCGCATCTTCCCCTTACATCCCTTCCGATTAACCTGCTACATTATGATGGGAGTAGTAGCCACATACTCCTCCTGGGCCATTGTGACCGGATACGTGAACTGCGTGCCAGTGGCCAAATTTTGGAACCATGATCTGCCGGGCCACTGTCTCAACTTCGAGGCGATTTGGTTCTTCAATGCCGCGATGAATATCGTCACGGATGTGACCCTGCTTATTATGCCCATGCCGATGCTCTCGCAGCTGCACTTGCCGCGTATGCAGAAGGTTGCATTGATTGGTGTTTTTGCTATTGGTATTTTGTACGTGTGTGCATCCTACTGGAAAGAGCGAAAGAGAAGCTGACTAGCTTTTAGGGTTGTTATCACGAGTATTCTCCGTCTGTCGAGTCTACGCACTGTTGCCCAAAGCACAGATACTTCCTGTATGTCCATTCCTTCCTATATCTCTATTTATTCCGTATGCATCTACATCTACATACACCGATACTAACAAATAACCAGACAGCAACGTCGACGCAGCCTACTGGACTGCTGCAGAATGCAACGTCGCCATAATCTGCGCCTCGCTCCCCTTCCTCCGCCCACTCATCAGCCACCTCTTCCCGAGACTGCTCTCCAGCTACAACCGCACAGGCTACGGCCGCACACCTGTGAGCAAAAACATTAGCCTGATCACGCCCTCTCCGACCACACCTACCTTCGCCGCTGCTGCTGCAAAGCGCGCCGCTTCCGCGCAGAGCCCGAAGTCTGAGCTGTTTGATGATAGAGAGGAGTATGACATGTATTCGATCAATGTGAGGCATGGGAAGAGGGATACTCCCGGCTCATCGCTTAATGGGATTGAGGTCACGACTGAGATGTCTTTTATTCGGAGTCCGAGTGGGAAGATTGAGCAGGTGGCCACAAGTAAGGGCCATTTTGTTGATGCTTGACTCTGATATTTAACGTTTTTCTTTTTTTTTTCTTCTCACCCTGTGCCCTATGGTTGGCTATTCCTATTATTGCATTGCGACGGCATTACTTCTCTGGCTCCTTTTGGACGAATTGATATTTGGTGTTTCACCCTTCATATTTTCCTATACATTCTACTCCATGACGGACAGCTTTCTTTCACATATCATCAACTACGTCCATATTCTTGACTAGCTACTTGCATGGTATATACGAACCCCCAATACAAAAGCAACCTAACCTAACCCTCCAAATCAACGACGACCTGTCCCTCCTCGCCCAAGTCTTTATTAATAAACGTCCCAAACTCCTCACTCAACCCTGCAATCTTATTCCTCACCCACACATGATCCTCATCACCGGGATCAAGCAACGTAGCCCGAAACCTCTCAATGCGTGTCGGGAAAATCTCCAGCCTCTCCAACTTCAGCCCTAACCCTTGCCCTCTTTCTGTTTCTTTCTCGGTTTCTCTAACACGAACCCTCCACAAAGCACTCAGGTCATTCCTATACTCCCCACTCACGGCATAATCATCTACGAAATCGCCACACCCATATATGATAATCTTACCATGGTAAGACTCCACGCCCTGGACATGGTGTGACGAGTGACCGTGCACGATATCGACGGCGCACTCGTCAATAAGAAAATGAGCGAGGGAACGGATTCGCTCAGCGGGACGCCATGAATAATTCGGACCCCAATGTACCGAGAAGATCTTCAGAGCCGGTGGTGGCGGTCGTGTTTCTTGTTTCAGATGGTGTTTCCGATGACTATGATGCCCTTCCTGATGTTCTGGATCTGAAGACGTTAAGTCGTCGTCGGCGACGTGCTTGCCCGGTCCGCCGGAGAGCAGTAGCGTGCGGAGACGCACGCGCGTCGACGAGGTGTAGTCGACGAGATGGAATGCTGGTATAGCGCCCCAGTCGCGTGGGTGGTCGGAGGCGGAGTAGACGTGGACATCATATTCCGGAGCAGCAGTGTTATTGTCGTCTCCTTCATTTTTTTTCTGCGACTGGCCATCCGTATGATGGTGAGCATGGTACCCACCTCCACCTCCCCGAGAGGGCAAGTGCAGCACAGCGGGCCTGCGCGCCTCATCGGTCGTCTCCCCGGCCCCGGCAAAAGCAACCCCAGCGCGCTTCAGCGACCAGACTGTTTCAACTAGCCCATCGGTCCCAAAATCAAGCGTGTGGTTATTCGCCAAACCCGCATAATCCACATGCGCGGCATGCAAGATGGGCGCGACGTTAGCCGGGTGCATACGGTAATTGAAAGTCTTCTGCGGCCAGGGTTCATTAGTTGTTGTTGCTGAGGTCTCGAGGTTGATGAGGAATAGATCTGTGTTTCGGAGTAGGTCGAGCGTCGTGCCCCATGGCGAAGAGTGTGTGTAGTTTCCCTTGGCTAGGCGGGATGGATAGCGTTCTATGAAGTGGGAGACGATGCGCGCTTCCTCTCTGTTTTCGACGTGTTGGGGGAGGAGCTGGTCGATGAGTCGACCGAGCATTACGTCTCCCACGAAGTTGAGTGTGAATGTGCGAGATGGAGCCATGACTTTGGCCTAAGAGAAGGTTAGTGGTTAGGGCGTGGTTTCATCTGGTCAAGCGTGGTTCTAGATATCAAGTCATGATGACATCGCCCGGGCCGACAATCAAAGAACCAAAACAAACATGATATGTGGGGAAAAAAGATAATTTTCATTATAGAGTACAGTTCTCAAACACTTTGCCCCATTAAAACACAAGTCACAACATCCTCCTAGCACATTAATGGTATCGTGCGCAAGTCGCCCACTGCGCCGTTTAGGAATTCCATCCCAGAGAGAAAAAGAATCTCGTTATTCGTCACAAACTTTTCATCTATCGTTGTCCCATCGCCGCCAGCTCTCTTTCTTTCGCTCTCAATGCCTCGCGCATCGCTTCCGCTTCACGCTGGAGCCGTGCCCGCCGATCAGCCTGATCCCCCAGGGAGGCCAAGCTGGGCAAAGCCTGCTGCGTCGGGTGCGGCGCAGGAGAGCTGGAGTGGCGAAGCGGGCGCGGATCATCACGGGTCTCCGCGCGGTTCAGAATCGACGAAATGGAACTGAGACGGCCAGGGGGTGAAGGATTGGCCGAGGGATTGATTGGGGGTAGTTGGTTTGACGCAGACTCGAAAGGAGGAAGAGCTTCTTGGGCCGTCTCGGCGAGGGTGCGTTTTTTAGGCATGCTGAGTGTATGTGGAGACGCAGACCGTCGGCCATATTGTGGAGTGCCGGGCTCCAGAAGCTTAGGCCGTGCATGCACATGCGACCCTGAGCTGGAATTGTAACTGGTGAAGTCAACCGGCGGTGGGGCAAAAGACGTTGGTCGCGGTGTATCTTCGACTTTGCTGGGCATCATGTGGTAGTGGTCCATTGGCTCACTGCTCATGTACCGATAGTGATCTTCGTGCCCGTGAGACAAGGCAGCGGGAGAGGCCTCGGGAGATGCGGAGGAGGCGTTCGACGAATGAGTCGCAGCGGTGGGAGACTGATCTCGTAGGGCGGGCACAACACGTTTGCGCCGTTTGATAATAGACTTTTTCATGGTAGTCGGACGATAGCATCCGTGAAGCTTGTAGTACAAGCCACACGCATTGCAAATGGGATGACCCTGTTCGTCCCGCCGCCAGAGTGGTGTCACAGTAGTGTCGCAATTTTGACATGCGACCAAATTATTGCCGCCATCAGCAGATGGAGTGCTCTTGGGCGCTTCTGTTTCTTGCACCGGTTTTTCGGGTTCATGAGGTGACGCGCGACCCCAGGAGGATTGAATAGCTGTGGACCCTCGCGGAGCAGACTTGTAGACCCGGTTGTTATATGCCGGACAGCCTTCACAACCTTCTGCACCACCAGTGCCATTGCAGCTTCCGCCACCCGGACAAGAACCCTTGGGGCCATGGCAACCTTCTTCCGGCGCTGGTGGATCTGGTACTGGAGAACATGTGGAGGGAGAATTGGATTGGGCAGTGCCATCTGCATTTTGTTGCATACGATTCCGCTTGGTAGGACGCGCAACGTTCCGGGCTTTGAGATATAGACCGCAGGCGTTGCAAATCATCGCTCCTGTCGGGGACCGGCGCCAGAGGGGAGTGCTTTTCGTGCCGCAATTGCTAAGAGAGAAAACCGCGTCAGCGTGGAAGATAAGCTTGAGTTTTAGAACGACTATATACCTGCACGAATGTCCGAGAAAGGACGTGTCCTTTTGTATTCTGGGAGATGTCTTCTCGCCCGGCGTTCCGTTTGGGGGGACATGGGCCCATCCAGGATCACGGTGTTGCGCATAGCCGTCCGAGTGGTCACGACCCGCCTGAGCAGACGAGATCAGCTGCTGTGCAGCATCGAGGTCCTCCGCTGACGGTTGTCGCATGGGAACGTCGGGGTTTCTTGGGAAGGAGTGCACGGTTTCCATTTGTGAGATGGACGCCAACATCACCACCGCCGCGTTCTTCGGGCCGAGACGTGATTGTTGATCCGGCCGTGGAATCGGGAGAAGATACCGAGACGAGGTAAAAATAGAGACGAGCTAATAAAGTGGCCGAGTGGGAGAAAAGGTGGCCGACAGTCTCCAGGAGCGGTGCACGAAAAGAAATCCCTCCAAAAATAGAGCGAGGGAGGGGAATAGGGGTGGAGAAGACTGAGTGAGGCAGTCGAGACCAGAATGTACCGTATGTATCACACCGAAGTCAAAATGTCGGTCAGCCTAAATGGCGAGTACCTGCAGCCACCGTGACAGGGTTCTACCGGCCCGTCACGGACGAGATCGCAGACAGTGGCGAACAGTCAGGTGATGAGGATGTCAATGGATCTGTCGGGTCAAGGTCGTTGACAGATAGTTGGGATTAGGCGAGAGGCTAGGGGCCTGCAGGGCGGTGATCGCACCCTGCTGGGAAGGGAGGGAGAGGTATGGGGGGAAGGCGATGGGAGAAAGGCGATGGCGACAAGGCTGGGAGGATGCCGAAGTCGGGAGGGAGAGATGTCAAGAGAGGGAGATATGTGGAGGGAGGGAAAGGAGGAGAGGAAAGAGAGTGGGAGGCGAAAGTGGTGGAAGAAGAAGAATAGTTGCTTATCAAGGCTTTATCGATCTAAGGGAAGGGTCTGATCTACGATACATATCAATCAATCAATCAGTTGGAACAGTCCGGCCGGCAGCGCGGGCCCTGCTGCATCTGCCGAGGCCATTTGGATATATTGCCGTGTCGCGCTGATTCCCCTCTCCCTCTCCTCCTAACCCAACCTGACAGCCAATTCTGCCTGATTCTACGCTCCCCAGATCGCAGGGTTGGGAACTCCACCGCAGCCTATTGCGGTTTAGGCCCACGGAGCCGGTGGGCATTTCACCTTCCTATCCGGGACAAAAATGGGGCCGTGCTTGACAAGCCTCTTTTCGGACGGTGTGATTGGCTAGATGCAATGTCAGCAGGAATTGACGGGCCTGTGGTTGGTCGAGGCCTCTGACCACGCTGTACAATCATATAATGAATACTAGCTGCCATTTCCATCCAGCTATATAGTACAGTACTACATTCATTCTCTGGGAGGTCCGCCAACATGAACCACACTCTCCCCGATGACATCAAGAAAAGATCATAATGAAAATAATAAGAAAAGCAAGATCATCATCAACAGTGTCTCAGATACACCAACTCCTCTCTCGACGCGACACGACTAGGCCATGATACTCATCGAGGTGAATCATCATCCAGGGAGATCAATCCGATCGAATCCGCAGATGACGCTATCCATAAGCGCCACCGGTGGATTGTCCGACGGCTTCAAGATTTAAACCTGCTCGGCTCCCCAACCCTGGTCCGACTCGCGCATGTTCGACGGAGGCTCAATGGACGGGATGAATTCAAGCACCAGGTATGCGACACCGATGATGCCAACGATGGAACCGGCAATCTCACGCAGAACGTGGTCGTGCAGGAGGATCGAACCAACGAAGACGTAGACTGGGCGGAGATATTAGCACACATGAAACCAAGGGCGGGTAAACGAGAAACGTACAGATACCACGGCCCATGAAGGAGAACAGGAACGACGCGTAGCGGTAGGCGTAGTCCGGCACGTTAGGCAGGAACTCGAGTCCGGCGACGACTGCGGCAGTCAGTCAGTCAGTATGCACTCACTGCATTTACGGGAAATCGTGGTCGACTCACCCAGACCGAAGACTATCACATAGATGCCCACGACGACCGAGCTCATGGTTGGTGGGAAGAACTGGCTAATACCGCCCAGCACCATGAGCACACCCACTGCGATGTTGACCAGACGGCTGTCGCAAGTCAGTAATTGAAGAGCGCATCGGAGGACGGGTTCCATACAAAATGTTGGAGAAGTCCATTGTGCCGGTGTCAAGAGTTTGGTTATTCGGGGATTTTCAGTGTCTGGACAGGATGTGTCTTTGAGTCGCCAGACAAAGAGCTGGGAGGGATGAGTCGGGAGCGAGGTAAGAGGGGAGGTTCGACTAAATCTCGATGTTCTTGGAGACGACTCTGTTAGCCGTTGTTCTAGCGAGTAGGTGGTCTGGGATTCGCCAAGTCGCCGATGACAGCGCGGGCAGGTGGGTGCCTGGCTGAGATTCGGGGGGTGGCCTGGCCGCAGCATTGTTTGGTGTGGCTGGGCCGGGCGGAAGGCGGGACGGGAACCAACCCGGAAGGGAGGAATCGCGAGGGAGGACAGCACTCACCAAGAGACCGGCAAAATAACGACAGGGACTGTAGACGATGGAGAATAGAAAGCGAGCAGAACAGGGGCAAAAGGTGGTTGGGACAGCAGTCGCAAGCTGCGGGTCCGCCAAGCCTAGATGCGGCTGAATCAGCAGAAACTAGACTTGATTAGGGTTACCGCGCAAATGGTATACGAGTACGACTTGAGTATATAGCTAAGGGATAGCGAGAGATAACTAGAAGGCTACAGCTTCGCTCCCTTCTTCTGCCTCAGAACCTCCTTTACCAGTGATACCGCAGCCTCCGCACAGCCATACGACGCCTGATAGCCAAACCCGCCATGGCCATAGTTGTGCACAATATTGACTCCGTCCACGTTATCCTTCTCGACACGAGGACCTCCCTCTCGCAGCGGCCGCAGCCCAACACCATGTCGGATAATATCCAGTCCCTCGATCCCCTGTCCCTTCTGGACCAGCTGCGGCGCACTCGCAATCGCACGTTTCATGATCCGAATGGCGAGGTTCGGGTCAGGTAGTGCATCCCAATTGTGCTTTTGATACGATCCTCCGAGAACGGTGCCGCCGCCTAGAAGTGATTAGCGAATATCACACGTAGTTGTTGTCGGGCGAACGTACCCAGAGCGCGAGTCATAATGTACAATGCTTCGTCATCGCCATCATCCGTTCCAGAAACAGACGACATTGGACCGGCGTCGTTGCGCACGACCACAACCTGGCCCCGGGCAGGATACAACTTGCCGTCGAGCACACCGCCGAGGAACTTAGATGAGAGACCCGTGCAATTGACGACCACATCAGCTTTTTGGCCCGAGTGGTGTGCACTGGCAGCGTCCACAACATGCTTGAGCGTGGCTCGCTTAAAGACCGTGCCGGCCTTCGCGCACTGTCCGACAAGCCATGACAAGTAGACGGGCGAGTTGATACAGACCGAAGTGAAGGTCTGGGCATTGTCGATTCCCGGGCCGAGCTGGTCTTCCGGGACGGCTTTGAACTAGTTCATCTTTTTGTTAGTGCTCTCTCTGGCATTCATTCATTCTCCAGTCACATACATCAGGCACGACATCCTTGTACCACGGATTCGGCTGCACCAGCTCCGAAAACACCTGCCCAATGGCGGAATGCTGGTCCTTGGTGCGGTTGTGAATAATCGTCTCTGCAATCCGTTAGCCTTGGCTTTCCTTCATCAAGAGAAAGAAGTCATAAGCATACTTAAAAAGTGAACACCTGCCTCCGGGTGTTTCTCTGCCAGCTCCTTCAGGGGAGCCCAGGTGGCTGTTTCCCATTGCTGATGCGCACTGCCTTCCTTGCCCGTTCTGTGCACAGGTCAACAGTTGCCCATTTCGGGTCAAGAGCAGATAACGTACGGCATGTAGTTGGCGCCAGCCCAGGGAGAGGCATATTCGATGTCATAGTCACCTGGCATGTGCTTGGCCAGCACGGTGATCTTGTTGGACGGGTCTTTGGATAGGAGGTACGCCGTGGTCAGGCCGGAGACTCCAGCTCTGTCATCGTCAGTCCGTCCGTGTTGGCAGTCTGCAGTTGGTGCCACGGGGGTCTTACCCGAGAACCACGATATTATTTGCGGCCATGTTGTATCCGTTGCCTGGTCTTTCGCCCAAGCTATACTGAACCACAATTGTCAATGGCAGCAATAAACCCCGGACTGAAGCGGGGGAATTGACTGCCGTTATCGGTGGTTATTTATCGTGTATCCATACCGTCATGGGTTCTATTTCGGTGGCGGATCAGAGGGCGGTGTGACACTCAGGCCAATCAGGTCCTGTTGACACGCCAGGACTTTTTAAGCAATACGGCACACGACTGACAGCCCTGTTGAGGAATGCTTCGAGATGAACCACCAAGAGGTATACATACTAGGCAAAATCAGGATTTTGAACAAGACACAGAAGAACTAGACCAGGATGATTCCTTTCGAGAGCCAACCCAGAACAGGCCAGTCCGTAAACGCCCGGCTTCTCCATCGTCTCCACTGCTGGCACCCACTGATCGATCAGTCACATCCGGTGTGTAAAAGTCTGCCGCAAAACGATCTGTAGGAGGTCCTCCATACTAAGTCAGTCAAATCCATCACAAAGAAGCTATTTGCCCCATTTGGTTACATGAACTATTTCCCAGCCCTACCCTACATGGTGCACACATACTCTTTTATGTCATAGTCGCCCAAGCCCCCCAATCATCGCCCCCAAGCCACACCGCCCCCGGCACCACCCACATCCCTGACTGGGGCCCGAATTCCTTTTTGCACAACAGCACTCCCCGATTCACTCGGTGGGTGGACAACTATTATTGCTATTGTTGTTATTGTCTATTGCCCTATTCCTTGTTACCTAGACTCTCTACATTATTCACCACCGCCCCCGACCACCCTCTCCATAAATGCAGGCCTCGAGAGAGCAGGCCTTCTCCTCCCTTCACAATGGCCCATCTTACCCACGGTGGCAGAATCGTGCCCATACTAACGGGTCACGACCACGACGAACCCACACCCACCCCTCCCCCACTGCTGCAGGACCAGCTTGACGAAGAAGCCATAGCCCGACGGTCCAAGGCTCTCGACCGCGAGAGTTTAGAGATGCCCTGTCTCAAAAAACGCGGTCTATTTGCCCTGCCGACAGAGGGAGATGGTAAGCCAGAACCCCTGTAACTTGTTATGGTGACATACAGCGTTGTATAAGCGTGTGAATATGCTCGTTCTGACGCGTTTTTCGGAATCAGGCAATTGCCTATATTATTCTCTTTCCGACCAATTGTATGCCGACTTCGCCCATGGCGACGCGTTCCGGCAGCTTCTGGCCGACCACATCGCCAGCAACAAGCATTATTTCATGCAGTTTGTCGTGGCTGAGGGTGGCGAGCGGCGCCGCCCGAAACGGGCCGCCGCGTCCGCGTATGCGACGCGCTCGGCAGCCGTGGCGCCTCCATCCCTGGAGGATAAGGAACGGCGGTTCGAGGAGATGGTGGCGGCTACCCGCAAGAATGGCGAATGGGGTAGTTCCGAGCATCTGCAAGCGTTTTGCCAGCTTTTCAAGGTAGATGTCAATGTTTACACCATGGACGGTGTACAGGTGTTTCGTGACGTCAATGCACCGTCGGATCAGCCGAGAGATGTGGTGCATGTTGCTTTTCATGTAAGTTTTTCCTGAGGGGTGTCTGGACCCGAGCTGATGGAAGTAGGACTTTAAACACTACTCCTCCGTGCGGACTATGGATGGCAGCCACCAGGGACTTCTCGCCACGTCCAAGTACCCATCTCGCTATATCCTGCCACCGACGAAGGTGATCATCCCCGAGAGCTTCGCTTCGGACAGCACGACCTCAGACGGCCTAGCCGTCGACGTTTACCCTCCATGGGACATCAAGTCGATCCAAGAGGGTCTTGGTGGCCGATACGACCGAGAAACAATCGTAGACATGCTGCAGAAATGCCGTGGAGACATCGATCGAGCATTTGCGGCCCTGCTCGACGAGAAGAGCGACGCACCTACCGAAAAGAAAGGACCGGCCCTGAAATCCAGCTTGCAGGCCTCGCGATCGTCATCCCCATTTAGCACGGGTAGCAAACGCTCGGCGGAAGATAGCGACGATTCCGAAGACCCGCGGCCCATGGCGCGACGATCGCGACCGAAAAGGCGGATTGTCTCCAACCTCACACTCGGGGTTGGTATTTCTTTCAGAGATGACCAGAACGAGCTCGTCTCTCTGAATTTACGAATGCCAGAGAAAGGCGAAGGTGCCGAGCCTGCCTCGATCAACGACGACGACTTCAACAACACTGACCCTGAACAATCAGACGCGGACAAGACAATGGCTCCTCGACGCAGTGGACGTCTGTCCCGCCCTCGAGCCGTATGATGTCTTTTATGTCTGTCTTCGCCTTTTTTTGCTTACCAGCGGTGCCACCCATCATATTCATCTTCATTTGCAGCGATCGACTTGCATCTGCGTGGCGTTGGTTGTGAAGCGTTTCCATTATAGCTTGATTTAGCTTCATCCCAGTTCTTTTTTTGTGGGCATGGCTTTTGTGTGCATCATCGAACAGCGACTCGGAGGGTCGCTTTCGCTAGGCGGGGAGGGCGTTTTGGTCTTTTCAAACAAGATTTGCATGAGAGGACGATCGATGCCCGGTGCATGGTCAATTCCCTCGGTGGGTTCATGACATGCATAGCATGGCGAATATCTTCTGCCGCCGGTGTTTCTTTTTTGTTAACGGGGGCATTTGCTGCATTGCTTTCACAAGCCCCCTATTCGTGAGACGTCCTAGCCCTGCCCGAGTTTTTGAGGGTAGGGCAGGGATGAGGATTATCCTTGTTGTGACGGACAGGATCTTTGCATAGATTTGGTTAATGAGATATCCCGCAAGTGGTTGCATTGATCAACTTTGATTCTCTTCTCGCCCCGTAGCATCCGAGACGTGTAGAGTAGGAAGGAGTAGGGAGGGTCGGGGGTAAGGGAGGGATGGTGGTGTCGTACAGAGCTTGTCTGTTCTCATTACACAGTATGTACCGCTCAGCTGCGGCTGATCCGTGGTCGCTGGTCTGGATAATATGGATTCGACTTCTATTATAGCACGACAAAGACGAACATCTATAAAAAGGCCAGATCTATCTATAGACATGTTAAACCCTCAACCAGGAACGATGCCATCTAGACACGACCGTTCCCTTTCATTCCCATGCAACCCGCCAGGAGTCTCTCTCCCGTCCAGATCAAAATACAATAAGGAGCATCTCAATCCTCGAGTAGGAACCTCAGAAACGCCGTCCCAATAGCAACGCCATCATGCTCATCGCCCGCCCTCCCCAGAGCGTCCTGCGCCTGGGTCTCGTTAAAAACACCCAACCTCGCCCGGTTCTGGACAATCTCCGTGACAATCTCCCCGGTGAATTCCGGGTGCCCCTGAACCGTCACGAACCGGCCCGGCGCGTACATGCCCTGCACGGCGCAGCGGGGCGACGAGCCCAGCGAGATGGTGTTAGGGGGGTAGTTGAAGACGATGTCTTGGTGCATTTGCTGGATGCGCTGTTTGTTTCACAAAGTTAGCCCCTCTGCACCACGGCATGATGAATCCAATTCCAAAACAAGACTTACGATCTTCTCTCGCCTAAACAGCTCCTTTCCTTTCTCTGTCAAGTCCATCCCGCACACGGCTATCTCCCACCCCTGCTCGCTGCGCCCGACTTTCGCGCCCAGAGCGCGGCCGACGATCTGGTGTCCGAAGCAGATACCGAGGATACGCACCCGGTCTTGGGCGAGGATTTGCTGCGTGAACTTGACAAGCCGGTTGATCCAGGGGATATCGTCGAAGGAGTTATGTCCTAGGGAGTTTCGCGCTATTAGCATGCTTGCTTTTTGGGGCTGCAGTAATTATTCTTCTCAAAGGCACGCACTTGAGCCCGTCAGGAGCACCGCGTCGATCTCCTCGAGTTTGGGGTACGCATCCCCGTTCACGACGTCCCAGCAGGAGATGTCGAGCCCGGATTCCGGGTCTAGTAACTCGGGCTGGTTCAGGGCTTTGGCGCTGGCGGACAACAGCGCGCGGAAGACACCGCCGTAGCCATTGTAGCGGCGGTTGGTGCCTTCGAGGGGTGTGTCGCATTCGAGCACGGCGATGCGAAGGGGCGGGCGCATCTCGAAAAGAGTGTGTATAGTCGGTACGTAGGAGAGATGCAAGAGGCAAGAAGTGTAATCAATCCCCCCACTCGTCCATATCTTATCGCAGTTGCCGAACCCGAATGCGAGGGACGCCTAACCGGCATATTTATGTGCACGGCTGATCTTCCTGGAGGTAACACAGCATTGTGCACGATCTACTGCTGCGCATGGGAGGCCCTTACTGTCCGCTGGCCAATATAAAGACCCCCTGCTCACCACGGCTCTTTCCGTGTTCCCCGTCAGATTCATCCTTCGCCACCAGACTTTTTCTCTCAGCTGAGTCTCGACTAGATAATCCATTATGCATGATGAGGGGCAGCAAAGCCGTCCCTCGGAGACCTCTCCCCTGCTACGAACTGGCTCTTATGAATACAACTCCGTAGGCCATCAAGTCGATGTGGAAGCCGGCTCGACCACCAGCACAGAGGTAGACGAAGCCTCCATCCTGGACCTAACCCGAGTTAGCTCCATTCCCCAAGGGCTGCAAGTTGAGCCGAATCTGAACCGGCGGGTCTCCTCTGTGAATGGGACAGCCAATGGTGCTGGTCCCGATGATAAAAGCTACTCCTCGCGGTTCATCGGCGTATCACCAACGCGCTTCTGGTTGATCTACTCCGGCGTCATGCTCGGGTATGTGATCGGCTTTTTTGACTCAACTCTGATGGCCTCAAGTCACCCGGTCATCACTTCATACTTCCACGCATCCAATGCCGCCTCGTGGCTGTCCACGGCCTTCCTATTGACCTCTACCGCATTTCTTCCTCTATTCGGACGCATCTCCGATGCCTTTGGCCGCAAACCCGTGTACCTCTTCGCTATCTCCGTGTTCTTTCTCACGACGGCATGGTGTGGACTGGCGCAGAGCATCGGCAGCTTCATCGCCGCTCGCGCATTTTGTGGCCTCGGTGCCGGCGGCGTCTTCTCCATGGGCCAGGTCCTCTCCAGTGACCTGGTGCGCATCGAGTACCGTGGTATCTACCAGTCATACATCAACCTGTGTCTCGGAATTGGCAGCTGTCTGGGATTGGCCCTAGGCGGGTTCCTCTGCGACCAGGTGGGTTGGCGAGGTGCCTTCCTCGTGCAACTGCCCTTCATCTTCGTCTATTTCGTTCTGGCTGCCTGGACCGTCCCGTCAGGTCTGGGAGTGAAGCGCGTCGGACTAGAGCGAGTAACGGTCCCACAACTGATCCGGAGTATTGATCTGACGGGGTCCTTCATCCTCATTGTCGCAGTCACGGCCTTGATCATGGGCCTGAACCTGGGCGGCAACGTCTTCCCTTGGTCTCACCCGCTGGTCATTGTCTCCCTGGTGGCATCCGCTATCCTCTCGGTGATCTTTATCCGGTATGAGCGGAATGTGCCACGCGCTGTAATGCCCGTAGAACTACTGTCCAAGGATCCTCGCGCCAGCATCATCTTCGGCAATTTCTTTGGGTCGATGTCGACCAACACCATGATGTTCAATGCCCCACTGTACTTTCAGGCTGTCAGGCTCGCCTCCCCGACTGACTCTGGCCTACGGCTTGTGGCTGCCACAGCCGCAGTGACGATATCGAGCGTGGGGACTGGCTTCCTGATTACCTGGACCAAACGTCTCAAGCCCACCATCATCGCCGGTGGTGTCTGCATGCTTGTTGGTGGCTGCGCTGCCGCATCAATGGGGATGAACACACCGGATGCCGTTGCCATGATGTGCGTCTCGCTCACCCTCCTGGGCCAGGGATTCACCTTTCCAACCTTGATGGTCTCGGTCTTGGCCACGAGCGAACAGAGCGAGGCAGCTGTGGCCACCACCACGCTGGGACTGTGGCGCAACCTGGGCTCTGTGATGGGCGTGGCTGCTAGCAGCTGGATCTTTCAAAACACCCTCGTCTTTCAGCTGGAACACAAGGTTACAGGGCCAGACAAGCGCGACATAATTTCTCTGGTGCGCAAGTCCGTGCGAGTCATCGCTGACTTGGACTTGAAGCACCGGCATCAAGGTTAGTTCTTCTTCCCTTGGGCTATGGTTACTTCAACTGACGCTTTTCATAGTGATGGGGGCATATGCTGCTGCCCTGCGTCTGACGTTTCTCTCTGCGGCTGTCTGGGCCGCGATCATGTTGCTGCTTCACCTGCGCCTGCGATTGCCGCGATTGGGCAGTAAGCCCTAGCCATCTGTAAATATGTACCTAACTTATACCATATAGATACATGCATAATAGTTAGACATCCTCCAACCTCATTTCAAACGTTGAGGAAAATCATCGCAAGACAAAGCAGCCAGGGGTTGTCATTTCTTTGAGCATGATGGGGAATGCAAAAGTTAACGACTCCAACCCAGGGCCTACTCAGAAAAATTAGACTTCAGCCTAGAAAAAGTTGCAGTTATACTAGGCGCAGGAGGGAGATGGGGAATTATGGGCAAAGCTATAGGAGAAACTTGATATTCAGACGCCAATGCTACCAGGGTCAACTAGAAGGTAAGACCCAAGTAACCACCATAACAACTTGCTCTTTACAGGTCAACGGGATAACGGGTAGTTTCGATCTTCTCAGGCAGTATGAAACCATTCTGCCTTCGAACCTCATCCATCACCTCCATAATCACAATGGATTCCTCCAAGTCCTCGAATCGACTTTCCTTCCGCCCTTCAACGAGTGCGATTGCGGCCTCATCTGCTTCCCAGAACATCCCATGTCCCTCACCTTCCGCGTTCAAGCTGCCCCCAAACCCATTCTTCCACCCACTGCCGGCTCCTGGTCCAGGCATTGACCAGGTCTTGTCTTCCACAGTACCATCTTTCAGAATAAGTCTGGTCCGTGTGGGACGAGATACCGGACCCCACACTTGGACCTCTCCTTTCTTTCCCTGCACTCGTATGGCAGGACCAGCGGTGCCTTTATCATCCGGATCGGCGGATAGAGCCAGTGAGGTCATTGCAATTCCATGAGCATCTCCTCCGGTGGTTCGTGGGAAAGTGAGAAGCATCGTAGTCGTTTCATCCACGCCAGTCGGCTCATACTTCTTGATGGATGACAGCACCATTGGGGGTTTCCTGTCACCAGCGGGTTGGGTATGATACAGAGTCTGGAAAACCCAGGTCAACGAATAGATGCCAAGATCCAGGAGCGCGCCGCCTGCAAGATCGGGATTGACCAGGCGATGTTTGCCATCAGCAAAATTTTCGTAAGGGTTAAAATCCACGCAGTTATCTGCCGACACCTTGGTCACATTCCCGAGCTTGCCAGAGGTGATCAACTCCCTGACATAAATCGATAGGGGAAAGTATCTCGTCCAGACTGCCTCCATCAGGAACAGGTTCTTCTCTTTGGCCTTTTCCACGAGCTTCCGTGCCTGTGGCGCATTGACCGTGAATGCCTTCTCAACAAGGACATTCTTTCCGGCCTCTAGACACAACATGGCGTTTTGGTAGTGATGAGAATGAGGAGTGGATACATAGATAATATCCACATTTGGGTCATTGGCGAGCTCCTTATACGATCCATATCCCTTCGCATCGGAGGGAGCTCCGACCTCTTCCAGGAAGGATTTCGCACGAGAAGCACCACTGGAACTCGCCGCTGCAGTCACAGTATGGACAACTTTGTCGACCCCTCGAGTCTTCGGGTCGACGAGCAGGTCTTTGGTAAAAGTCACGGCGATACCGCCAGTGGCTGTCTCTGTCAGAACATATCTCTCAAAGGCAAGGGCTACGTACCTAGGATCCCCCAGCGAATAGTCTCTGGCATTGTGGATAACACTTCAGAGAATTGGGATCAAACAGAAGTACAGACGGGAGGCAAACTTAACAAAGAGCGGGGTGACGACAGATCCCTGATAAGTGGTTAACCCCACACGACTAATCACTGACTAATTCTCCCCACCGTGAGGAGTGAATAAATAGCTATGCGTAGCGTTAAAGGGATATCCCACTGGGAGATATCGGATATTTGCATATTAACGGCAGTAGCCACGACATTGAGCTTGAGAAACGGAAGCAGGAGCGTACTAAATGCTTCTATCGGCTATTCTGTCTTTTGAAGCCGTAATTGTTGAACCAGTTATTGGTGCCGTCAAGTGACACCTGGTTGTTTCTGTTGTCATTGGCTTGAGAGGATCTCATGTGTATATATAACGCTCAAGGAGGCCTTGGAACCTAGTGGCGCATACCTAATGGCAATAAATTGTATGTGAATATACATTCGTTACGTCTTCCACTGTCTCATTTGAATGCAAGTTATGCGTCAGGACACACAGGGTCATATGCCCCAGGAGATCTAACATTAAAGTGTCCTGGTCTAGGGTTCTAGAATTCTAATCAAATACCCCCGTCCTCCCACTGTACTGACTAGCACAGACAGTAATCACGGATCTAATAGTTGGTTGAAATCGTCATATAGACTTCTGACCAACCGCATTCCTCGACCCACTTTTCCCACTTTCTTTTCCCCAGTCAATCTCAACTTCACTTTTCGACTCAGTTGGACGAGACACTGGGTTCGATCGCTGAGAGTACAGTGACAGACTACACTAACGGTGCCCTCGGCTCACTCTTCCGTCTCCTACCCACTCTCCGCCCATCCAGCCCCGAGCTTAACCGGGCGCCAACTGGATGACTTCCCAGTCCACCGAATAACCGAGTCGCACCCCTCCCCGTTCACACATCGAACATGGCCATACACTTGCAATTGCGGAAGGAAGATATTACACTCAGGAAGCCTGTGCCGGTCTGGAAGTCGGCCGCACCGATCGGCGCTGGCGACTAGACAGACGACGAAAGAAATCAGTGGCGCACCCACAACTCCAGTAGAGAGCAATGACTCTCGAGACTCGCACAAAGTCCCATCCGGTTATCCGCGATGGCAAATCTCAAATTACGACACCAAAGAGCCCAAGCAGCGACTCCCAATGCGTCGCTGCCCGCACGCGCCGCAAGAAATCCGCTGAGTTCGCCGAGACCAAGGCCCGCCGAGTCCGCACGGGATGTCTTACCTGTCGCGAGCGGCATCTGAAATGTGATGAGGCGCTGGGACGGTGTCTGAATTGTCGAAAGTCGGATAGGGTATGTCGACGTGGAGTTCGTCTCAACTTCATCGATATCCAGACTGTGGCCCCACCACATCTCATTGCCCGCCCTCATGGCACCAAGGTGACATTCCGTGATGACTCGCGGTTTATTGCGTCGGAGTACGTTGGTGGATTTGAGAGATATCCGCCGCCTCAGCCGGAGAATCCTGTCATCGAAGACAATATACAGACGGCCCATGGGACTTTTGAGATGGATCAGGAGACTCTGAATCATCTCTTTCAGTCTGTCGCTCACTCATTCGATCCAACGGGGTTTGAAGTTTCACACGTTGGGACAGATCTCATTGCTGGCGCGGAGCAGTGGCCTTCGACCCACTTGACGTCCGGCGATGAGTTGCTACCTCACGCTTTATCCAAATTCGCACAAAAGCTGTCTATGAGACAATTAGATCATGGACCTTTGACAGATCCGGAGCAAGTGTTTTTGCTGCAGGTGTTTGTTGAGAAAGTTGGTATTTGGATGGATTCCATGGATGAAATGAAACATGTATGCTGCCTTATCCTACCGATCTCTGTCTCCTGGTCATTTCTAATCGATAAAAGTTCACACATATCCTGCCATATCATGCTATCGACGAGCCCATGCTCCGGAATGCCTTTTTCGCATGTGGGGCCAAGCACCTTGCCCTAGTCGATCCTTCTTATGGAGAGGAGAAGGGGCAGCGTTTTTACGACTCGGCAACTCAAGATATTTTGAACGCCGTTCATGATCCAAACCGTGATTCTGTTCTCTGTGCAACCACAGCTTTGGTTCTTGGCATCTATGAAACCATGTCTTCACGATCAACATGTCCGATGAATCATATCGCGGGATCGCGGGCTCTGATCCGGGAATGTGGCTGGACAGCAAAGACACACGGCCTTGGTGGAGCTTGTTTTTGGACAAGCGTGTGCATGGAGCTTCTCAGCTGTCTGCATCACAATTGGGCCATATCTTGGAACCCTGATACTTGGGATGTTAATATGGACATGGACCACATGCACCATGCAGAGCAAGTGTGGCTCCACCGAATGCTGTATATTTGTTCCAAAATTGCAAACTTCCGATTATCCGCCCACCAACCATCAGGAGCAGAAGGCCCTGCAATCCATACTTCTGGCACGTTCCAGGAGTGGAGTCTCTACAACAACTGGTGCGATCAGTGGGCCAAGTTTGTGCCGCGCTCTATGATGCCCCTAGGTTACTTGCAGCCTTGGCAAAATAATTCTCAATCTGCCTTTCCCATGGTCTGGTAAGTGATCATTCTCTTGCTTCATCCCAACGCTCATCGGTGCAATCCAAACAGGCTCATGGGCGGGCATGCCCTTATTGCGCGATTATTTTACCACACTGCTCGCATCTTACTGGCCAAATCACACCCACTGGAATCCGAACTGCACGCAGAGATGCGAAACGTGCAGCAAACCCACGCCTATGATCTCTGTGGTCTCGTTTCCCAACTCAAAGATCGGTACGTGGAACACCCCTATCAATTCAATAGAAACTTATAGTTCAATTAGCGGAGCGGTGTATATCGCGGTCCACTGTCTTGCCATTGCAGCAGAATGTCTAGACGCCCGTGAAGCCCAGGATGAAGCCCTCGGCATATTCGACACCATTGCCAACAACGAAATGGCCTGGCTCGTCGACCCTACCAAAGAAAAGCTCAAACAGACCTGGGGTTGGCCAGTTCCGCAGCCTCACACCGTTTCTCCTGAGCAAATACACAACAACTATTCCGACTTGGATCCTCTTTTGTCTGCCGAGTCCCATGGCCTGGTGGGAGGTGCCGTCAATCCTCTGCTGGCGGCCGCGGACTTTGCATTGGATAATCATCCCTACCAGGGATCATATGTTGCGCCGCATCATGCACTTGATCATTACCACTATGGTGGTTACTTGATATGATGGTTGATTGGTTTTTGAAGGTTGCTTTTTGAATGGCTGGCTTTTTGGTTTTTAGATACCCTCGGCAGTTGCATATATATACAAGGATTTTACCATCTCAACGCTAGGTGACAGTAAACGCGCGCCGAAACTGGCAACCTTGGATACCATTTTTGGCGCCCCGTTTTACCAAATCTTAGTCATCCGGCAAGCAGCTCAGCTTTTAGTCACCTGACACAGAAGTAGCTTGACGCGTAGTCGTCATTGCAATGACATACAGGCAGAGTGGAATCCGGACTGTGCAGTTCTGGAGCTACCAGAGTCAACCTGGGAGATATTTCTCACCCTGAGCGTATTGATCTTGCAGTCTGCGCACGCTCTCCCGCAACTTGCACCCTGTGGCGTTTCTCAGGTCTGCTATGGAATCGCTCTTCTGACTCGAAGAGTATTCATTATCGGCGTTAGAAGACTGGCGTCAAATGCACCCTGTTCCAAATGGTTAGATTCAAATACAAGACCTTGAAGACCTATCTTCCCCGGGTACGGTTTCTCACGGTGCATTATGCCTACTTCATTGGGGTCTCCTTCATCACCTCGGCCATCTTCTGGGGCACGTCTTCACCGGCCCAGAGTGTTCGATACATTGACTCGCTATTTTTGACTGTCAGCGCCATGACCCTCGCTGGCCTGAATACGGTCAATCTGTCTACGCTGAATACGTTCCAGCAAGTCCTGCTGTTCTTCCTCATAATGTTTGGATCCGCGGTAAGAATGGCAGTGATCTATCATCGCCCATTGATAGGAAGGCTAATGCGATATAGATCTGGGTATCCATTGCGGTGGTCCTAGTTCGTAAACAAGCCTTTGAGAAAAGGTTCGGGGAGATTGTAAGGGAAGAGCGGCTCCGGAAGAGAACTCGGAGCTCCATCGGATTAGGTCGTTTAATGACGAGGCCGCGCTCTCTCTCCCGGCAGTCTACCGTGACACAGGAACCTGCTCGTCTCTCAGAACCCCCGCTCCAGCTCCGTTCTCCACTTTGGAGAACGCCAGTTGTCCCTAGTATTCCTCTCCATCCTGCGAGGTCGCAAGCCCAGAACCAGGAACCTGATTCAAGGACTGGCCCTCCCGATGCCAGACAATCCGACCAACAAGCAGAGCAGATTCCTTCAGGAGCTAGAGGTGATGCTGAATCTGTAGCACCTGACGAAGCACTGCCTAATGGATATCCCCTTGGAGAGCCAAAGAGCAATACGGATGCTGATTCTCATATTGCATTCACTTCTAACGTATGGAACGGTTCTGAAGAACGATCATCTAGCCCACTACGCCGACGCATGCTCTCACCATATGTCAATGTTCAGAACCTCTCTACTACGATCGGCCATTTAGAGCAAGGTCCTTCCGATGGGGGCTCGGACAGGGAAAGATTTAATGAAGCTCATTTGCACTTTCTGCGCAGATTTCATCGAAATTCCACGCTCTATAACCTAAGTGAAATGGAGCGACAAAAGCTTGGAGGCGCCGAGTACCGAGCAATATGCTTGTTGTCCATTATTGTGCCGACCTATTTTATCCTGTGGCAACTCCTTGGGGGGTTAGGGGTGGCAGCGTATCTTGCAAGGAACAAAGCTTCGTTGACAGAGTCTAATGGCCTGAACCCTTGGTTTGTTCTCATTTCAGTTCCTGGTGTCTTGATATCTACATTAGGATCCTTGTCACTTGATCCTGGTAATGGTTTCTAATTTTTTTTTGTTAAAATCTTAGGTGGACCGGCTTCTTTTTTGCGATTTCTGCATTCAACAACTCTGGGATGAGTATTCTCGATGCAAACATGGTTGGTGCTTCAGGATTTTCTGCAATAACTCGTTGCGTTTAACCGTCGGACAAGGTTCCATTTCAATCGTCGAGGTATATGCTTATTACCATGGGCTTGTTAATATTGGCTGGCAATACCTGGTAAGGCACCACCATTTCTTGTTGTCTGGTTCAATGTTTGGTGTGCTCATGAGGTCTTGCAGCTATCCAATATTCCTGCGATGGATCTTATATACAATCCGCCTGATACTTCCGGATATCGAGTATTACCATCGTTTCCGTGACACACTAACCTTCCTCCTGGATCATCCCCGGCGATCTTATACTGCTTTATTTCCTTCTGCGCACACGTGGTGGCTCCTACTCTCTGTGGTTGTCTTGAACGGTATCGATTGGATAGCGTTCGAAGTACTCAACGTGAGTTGCTCAGCTAGCCAGACGTACAAATCAGTAATGCTAATCCTCAGAAATAGATAGATAATCCAGCGGTGGACGCTATCCCTAGAGGTTCGCGTGTTTTGGATGGCCTGTTCCAAGCACTGTGCGTTCGAAGTGGGGGCTTCTATATTGTCAATATCTCGACTCTCCAGCTCGGAACGCTCGTTATCTATGTGGTAATGATGTATATCTCTGTCTATCCAGTTGCGATCACGATGCGGCACTCGAATTTATACGAAGAGAGAAGTCTGGGAGTATATGCAGATGACACCTCCGTGAATGAGGACGATGTGGAATCGTCATCAGGAGCTTCGGGAAATCGGCCTCCCGTCACACCCGGCCTCGGGAGGATATATTTTATCCGGCATCAGCTGCGGGCCCAAATGGCGTACGACTTATGGTGGATCGCCCTGGCTGTCATCATAATTTGCATCGTCGAGGCGGGCCAGTTCACCCGGGATCCTATCACGTACTCTGCATTCAACATTATCTTTGAGACAGTAAGTGCCTACGGATGTGTCGGGATAAGTATTGGCCTTCCCAATAAACTCTACAGTTTCTCTGGAGGCTGGCATACCTTGAGCAAGCTTGTCCTTTGCGCTGTGATGATTCGAGGCCGCCATCGTGGCCTACCAGTGGCTATTGACAAGGCAATCATGCTACCAAGCGACAAACTTGTTAAAGCAGAAGAGGAAGACGCCCAGATCAGGATAGAACGAACGATGAGCCGGAGAGCCCGATGAGAACCTTAAGTCAAGACTTCAAACCGGGAAAAATGTCTTTTCACAACGTTTGGCCTCTGAGATCTGCGCGAATCTTTGTGTGGTGCAAGTTTTGGTATTCGACCCTGCTAAGCTTGGGCGTTGCTGGTGCCGCACTTTCGATATGGTGAAATAGCTCTCACTTCGGACGACGACAGGTCAAGTTGCTTAGGGATTCCAGTCTCGGGTTTTGCCAGGAATCAAGGACCTAATCTCGTACGAGACATACGAAGGCATATCAAAAAATCTCGCACAAGAGATCAAAAGAGATAATAGGCCGCTGGTTGTAGATTTATTGTTAACTCTTTGATCGTATAGACCTCGAATGCACGCAGCCATAGCATTCGTCCGAATGGTTGATGGAAAAGCGAGAATGCGCCAACACGTCAACCTCGTCTTTGATCTTACGGACGAAGTAATCTTCTTACCTGTGCATATCGTGCTTTGGATTCAGTTTGTAGCGGAGGATCGCGTGTACCAATCATACGACTCTCCAGGGGCAATTTTCCGCATCCCAAATTGCTGTGTACAAGCTCGCGTGGTCTCGGAACGACCTGGAGGACGGAGCTTCCGCCGATTATGTCAAATTCCATAGCCTCCCCACTGACAGCATTGCAATTCCAAAAAGACAATACGGCAAGCTCCTTTCAAGACTTACAGGCTCCACAAGCCGCGGTTCTATTCTTGGTACGCGGGGTAAAGTTATGATCTCTTGTGCATTCTCAAATGGGCTCGGCCTCAGATGCGGAGATGGATCCCAAAGCCACCCACTCCGAAGCTTATCAGGGCAGCCCCGTAAGCCAACCATTTCCCTGGGTTTACCAGGTGACAAACTGACCCCCGCAACTCCCATGTCGGCAACATGAGCTAGCCAAGACAGGATGGACGTCAGTCCTGCCTGTTCGACCGAGGACCTAACCTGTTCAGGGGGGAATATCCTTCTCTTGGACCAATGTGAATGGCAGAGGCATTTAAACTGGTCCCCTATCCGGGGTGAGACATACTGCCTTGCGGCACTATTTCGTTTTGTTAAAGGGCCCTGTGTTGTTCCCCATTTACTCTTCTCACCAGAATCCGCTGGTCCATCCAAGGAATTCTTCACTATGGACATCAATACTGTCGTGCCTGTTGAGGTGAAGGGGGAGAAAACGCTGGATGTGGATGATGCCCGATTACTTGCTATGGGGAAGAAACCCGAATTGCAGCGTGTATATAACACCTGGACGTGTGAGATTGCAAGCATATTACTTTGCTTCGTGAGGAAAGACAAACTGAGTTGTTCATCCAGTGTGTGCGTATCAGGTCATGATACAGGCCAGCTGGTCCTGTCTCATTGTCCTTTATTCAACGATCTTTGATGTCGGTGGCCCAACGAGTTTGATATGGGGCAGGTAAGACAGAATGTCTCTTTGAGAAAATTATTAGCGAGGCTAACCTCTAGCTCCAGCCTGGTCGTCTCTGTAGGTCAAACACTACTGATGACCTCCTTGGCCGAGTACTGTAGTATTTGGCCGACGGCTGGTGGACAGCAGTACTACACCCAGGCTCTCTCAACGGGCAGCACGCGGCCGTTTCTGTCATATCTTGTCGGCTGGGCTATCATGGTTGGGGAAATATCGACGGGATCAAGCTGCGCGCTGAATAGTGCTCAAATTATTGCGTCTTTTGTTCAAATTGCTCACCCAGACACAGAGTGGAAGGTCAGTCGCCAATTCGTCCGGGTTATGCTGCGACCTATTACTCTGGAGACTGACAAGTGCTGTAGTCTTGGATGACTTGGTTACTTTATAGTGGAATGCTTGTTCTTCCAGTCATTACAAATCTCAACCAAAGGTAAGTACACATATACGATTTCCCTTCGTGTTGGCCGTCATTCAAATCTTTACATGTGGCTTACCTGAGAATAGATGGCTGCCAGGAGTGAACCTTCTTGGCGCACTCTGGGTTGTCGGCGGCGGAGTCACCTGGGCGATAGTCTTCATCGTGATGGCACCCAAGCATAACGCCAGTTTCATCTTTACCGAATTTATCAACAATACTGGCTACACAAGCAATGGATGGGTGTTCATCATTGCATTTTACAATTCTATGTACGGCATGGTTGGTACAGATGGAATGATGCATCTGGTGAGTGTCACCGGTATGGTACATCAGATACATTTCTAAACTGCTCGCAAATAGGTTGAAGAGATGAAGAGTCCATCTAAGAATGCTCCAGTATGTCTATCCCACACTTTGCTACTGCAATCCAGTCTAGGATTTTGCTTATGGCTCACCATTCATAGCGCGCCATGATCTATTCCATGATATTCTGCGGCATTATGAGCTGGCTATCAGCCGTCTTGATGATTTGGACCGCCGGCAACGTAAATAGTTATATGGACTGTAAGGATCAGAGTTCCGGTATTCCTGATGAGTTCTGACAGTTTCTAGCACCACAGGCATACATGAGCTGGTGGATGGGTGTTACGGGATCCCTCTATGGCGGGGGTCTCTTCTGTGCCCTGGTGATGATCGGCATCAATTTCTTCGTTATCGTAGGCACCAATAGTGCCGGGTCTCGAATTGTGTGGAGCATGGCTCGTGATAAGGCTTTCCCTTATTCTGAGTACTTGTCTCAAGTCAGTCCTCGACTTGGGATTCCTTTGCGGGCAATTGGGTTTGTTGTGGTTATCGACTTAATGCTTGGTACGTCTCCAAGGGCCTTGTACGGAAAGCTCGGAGGTACGGGTGCAATCAGATTGTCTTCGGTTACTCACAAGTAGGGAATTCTACTTAGGCTTGATTGTTCTGGGCAGTGACCTTGCCTTTCAATCAATCATTTCCGGTGGCGGTCTGATGTTGCAGGTCAGCTACTTGGTTCCTGTGGTTGTGGTATGGCCGCCCATCCAGTTCTACCTTGTGACTTTCTACTAAAATATTCCTTTAGGTTCTTATCCGAGGCCGAAAGATTCTACCTCCACGCCCCCATTTTGATCTCGGTCGCTGGGGCTACCTAGTTAATGTTCTCAGTGTCTGCTGGTCTCTATTGATTTGTGTGGTATATCTTTGTCCGCTTTACGTCCCGGTCACTATCCCCACTATCGAGAATATGAACTGGAGCTGTCTGATTGTGGGCGCTACTATTCTCTTCCCCGGAATTTATTGGATCTTTGGGGCGCGTTTCAAGTATATCAAGGAGCATAACTCGGTCATGGAAGACAATGTTGTTGTCATTGACAGTGTTATTGTTGGAGGAATGGAAGCTATGACAAGGGAAGCGGGGCCTCAGGCTCCTCGAGCGAAGGAATGAATCCATATTGTTACTTGTGTCCATACCTGCCTTGGAACAATTTCCTAACCCCGAATTTCCGCATGGTTCATTTTGTCTCTACCCCTCTTATGCACATCAATATTGCTGATAGCAAGGCCGGCTCCTCGAGCTGCGATTGGGTTCGGGCGGACAGGATGAGCGGCTTAGCAGGTACAAGGCGCCTTTCCCGTTTCGGAAAGATTTTAGAGAACTAAACTATGTTTGGAAAGATCATCGCTAACTTCCAACTAGGAAGCTCTACCCTTATTTGAGATGCCGAGCTTCGGGAGTTACAAAGTTCCGTCTGACATTCAAAAAGCTCCTATCCGTTTTAGAGATGGGGTGCGGAGTAAATATGATATCCGGCTTGCCGTTTCGGGGAAGGATTTGGAGATTTAAGCCGTACTGGTGCTCTGCCGTCACTGAATCGTAGCACCATGACGCTATCTACTCGTTATGATCATGACCTTTGAGCTTCAAATTAGCAATAATGTACTCTCGATATTCCCCTCATCGCCTTAACTTGCCCATTTCGGTACAGTCTTCCAATATTCTTCATGCTTGATCAGTGGGAGGGAGTTCAAAGAATGCCAAAAGCAATATATTTAAAGCAAGACTTTGTCCCGAGGTAACTGAAGAAGTATTAGTATTCGATGAACTAAAGGTGAACGATATCATAACTAGAAGACCACGCTGAATATTATACTACGATTTTTGATCTCTACTTTCTACGGTTGCGAAAATGACCATTCGTACGGGAATGCCAAAAATCGTCCGGCTGGACGCCAAAGATCCCAAGACAACCACCGAGCGTGTCGTCGAGATTGTCGAACGAGACGGAGGAGTCATCATCAATTCCCTTTTCCCCAAAGAACACACTGATAGAATTCGGGCGGAGTTGAAACAGGTATTTGATGCCGACATACCAGATCCATCCGGATTCTTTCCAAAGACAACCCGACGCGCTACAGGGTTGATTGGAATTTCAGATGCATGTGTTGAATATGCCACCAATAAGTTGTGGATTGATGTCTGTAACGCAATTCTCACAAGTACTTTTCAAGGTTGGCATGGAGAGTCACTTGAGAGATGGACAACCAAGCCGATTATTTCATCAACTGTTGGCTTCCAAATTCACCCAGGATCGCGCGCTCAGGATCTACACAGGGATGACAGGTAATGCTCCCAAGAGCTGGGATCATCTTCTCACATGTCATACTAACCGATTGACATTGTAGCGATTACCATGCAACGGGCGATGAGCATATCATGATGGGCTGCCTTCTAGCGACTACAAAGTCCACATATGAAAACGGCGCAACACTGGTTATACCTGGATCTCATAAGTGGGGTCCAGAACGTGTACCCAAAAAGGAAGAAGCAGTACCGGTTGAGCTAGATGTCGGGGATGTGCTGATATTTACTGGTAACGTTTATCATGGGGGAGGCGCAAACAAGTCTATGTATGTTATATTGTCTATTCATCTGGAGAACACACTCTGATAACTTATCTTGGGCAGTGATCAAATTCGAGAGGTCATCGGGATGTTCATGGTGAAGGGAATGTACAGACCAGCAGAGAACCAGATGCTTGCAGTGCCACCCGAGAAGGCGAAGAGATATACACCCCAGGTTCAGAGATTGCTCGGTTATGGAATCAGTGCTCCTAGTGTGGGATTTCACAAATATCAGGATCCCATGCGCGTTCTGTTTGGTGTTGAGGACGAAGAGACAGTAGACATGTGATTAGCGATTATATTGGCCATGGAGATGACTACCACCGCACTGTCTTGGTTGATAGCTTGTATATATGTGTTTTTACTGTCAGAAAGCATTGAGATTAACCTACTATAAATCTTTTCCAGGTTAGGGCAGTGCATTACTATTCTCTAGTTATGATGTACAGAATAGCCAGAAAACCCTATTTTCCAACAACATTCGAATATACATGAATTTTTGTTAAGCAGGACGATTCTAGCCCTTGCCATATCAGTTGTCATTACTTTTTGGAAATTCCAGATTCTTTGGGATCTGGTTGCCGGAACTAACCTCCCCATCTCACATGATGGAACGCATTATCTTCGTTTCCCCGCTCGGTAACCAACATCTTCCGCCAAGCTAACCTCACTTGACTCAATGCTGCCATAGCCAGATAATTAGCTGATGGCACACTATGACAGCCCTGGTAGAGGTATGTAATTTCAAACTACAAACGTCAAATCTCTGAGCTATGAGTGGTGGCACACAGCTAGCTTGTCCTTGTTATGGTCTTCCCTACGCGCAAAGTGCGCTGACTTTGCAGGGAAACAGACTGCCAAAAATGCAAATTGAGACGTATAAAATGCGATAGAAGCTTGCCAACATGTCTCAAATGTGCGAGTCGATCACTTGAGTGTCCCGGATACGTCCGGACGATCAGGTTCGTCATGGGAGCATCCCGGAAACCCCAGAAGGAACCAGAGCCTATTACGAAGAGACACCTTTCTTATGGCATCCATGGATCTAGAGGGCAGAATTTGGCCTTGCTGGACTATCAAGAGGACTTTGCTTCAGACTGTCGCCCACTAATAACGAAATCTGAGCTTCTTCATCATTTCACCAATGTTATAGCTGCGGATCTTGTTTGGATAGACGATCAACAAAACCCATGGCGACAATACATTTGTCCGCTTGCATCGCAGTCTCCCGGTGTTCTCTATGCTGCACTTGCTGTTGCAGCCGCCAATTTGTATTTCAAATTCGACTTCAACAGCCCACACAAAGCGTTGAGCCTAGACCTCATGAATGAATACCGCCAGAAAACGGTCGAATGCCTGACACCATATTTGGCTTTTGCCAATTGCAATGATGGTCGTACAGACAGCAGGACGAGTTCGCAGACATTTCAAAAGGCACTTGCAACCGCACTGCTCCTTTGGCATCTCGAGATGTACTTTCCATCAGATTCACTATGGCGACTACATTTGCGCACGGCACAAGCCCTGATATATCACTACCAGAAAAGCTCAACGCTACTTCTAGGGTCAGATAGATGTGGAGATTTTCTTATATCGGAATTCTACTGCGCCACTATCTGGCCTCGGCTGACGCTGAATGTTGAAATCGACGATATGACGCTAAATATTCCGATGGTTGATGGAACGAATGCTTTCGTTGGTTTTGTTCAGTTGATGCACCAAATCATCATGAAATACCGGGACCGCGGTGGGAGTGATACTATACCTGCTGAAAATGCAATGGATCTTACAGAGTTAGAGTCACACGCCACAAAGGCCAGAGAAACGGTGCTTGCAGTGGAGGATATAGCCAAGATCAATCTGCATAATGGGGCTTCGTGCGATATAGCCCATGTGGTGGATGCGTGGTACTATGCCATTCTGCTGTTTGGCTATCGGGCTATTGGACGGTTGAATGCATCACACCCAGCGTTACAAAGAGCTCGCGATTGTCTGTTTGAATCGCTATTATCCTTTTCCAGTCCTCTATCCTTCGCTCAGAACCAACCGTGGCCGTTGTTTATCGCTGGAACCGAGTGTGTGGATAATAAAAAAATGCAGCTATGGATTGAATCACGTCTGCTCAGTCTCATCAACTTTGACTGTCCTTTAGACCGTCCGCGGATGCTGCATTTCCTCAAAGAGTGGTGGGCTCAACCAAGTTCAACATCTGACCAGAAAGCCTGCTGGATGGCTTTCAGAACAGCACCGGCGAATTTTGTCAAGGAGTTCGTTATTTGGTGACATTTTATTGATTTGTCAACCTTCATAGGAATTAATTTTTGTTCCATTATCCTACCTTATTTGAAGTGGTTGACTTTTGTTTCATATGAGCCTTGTTTTTTGCGCTAAAGCTTGATCGAGAATCTACCTCGCACCCTTTCCATGGAAACTTCCGAAGCACGGACAAAGTAACGATGACCCTCTAAGATAAGTTCCCTCTCTAAGCTCTCTTAACCGGCCCCCACCCCCCTCTTTTTTTTTTTTTTTTTTTCTTTCCAATTAAGAACCGTCATCCACGACCGACCAGATCAAAGCGAGGCGGTGTGAAGCGGCAGTTCTTCCCTTACCCATCGACTGTTCAGCTTTCACCTCCAGCAAACAACACAGTATATGTCTTCAGAGAAATGAATGAAAGACCTACACTGGGACTTCAGTCTCCAGCCACACCGATCTACATCTTACGCGGACACACAGCTCCAATTCACGCTCTCCACATCTTCAACCACAATCTCCGCCTGATATCTGGAGACGCCGATGGCTGGATCGTGGTCTGGGACCTCGTCACCAAACGAGCTGTGACGGTATGGAAGGCTCATTCCGGTGCTGTGCTCGAAGTCAAGGGTTTTACTCTTGGTGGAAATGTTTCAGAGATCTATACGTGAGGATACATCTTTGCCTCCTCTGTTACCTATATCACTTACTGATTTCATGCCTACCAGACACGGCCGAGACCACAAGCTATGTGTGTGGAAGATCCGTGCAGAGGATGAGTCGTTCCTTGACAAGACTCTCCCGGTCGATAGAGCTGATTCCTCTGAGTCGGGCGAGACTCAGCGCCAGCCGTGGCTACTGCATTCTCTGCCTGTAAACGCGCTGAATTTCTGTGCGTTTGACATGACATTCCTGCATACAGACTGCAGTCCTGAAGAGAAATCTGGCAGTGATAATAGATGCGCCACACTTTTTGCAGTCCCCAACGCTCTTGACTCCGGTGGAGTCGATATCTTCCATCTTCCTTCCGAACGCCGTCTCAGCACCATCCGCTCAGATCCCTCAACGAAGACAGGGATGGTGATGGCTGTTCATCTTTTTGTCTCTCCATCTGGGGACCTTTACCTTGCATCCGCCTACGAAGATGGACATGTCATGTCATTTCTTCATCGCGGACCGCTCAAGTCCACCATTAATCTGGAAGGCAACGCAAGCAGCGACGCCTGGAAATGGGAGAAGATATACGCTTGTCGCCCGCACACACAACCCGTCCTCTCTATCGACGGATCTCCCTCTCAAGACTATTTCCTGTCTTCTTCCGCTGATGCATTGATCGTTAAACATCCGGTCCTTCGGTCTGAGTCGGGCGGGTATATTCCCACACCCAGATATGTGGAAGACTCGCCTCTGAAGATCGTCAATACGAAGCACTCTGGGCAGCAGGGTCTGCGCATTCGGTCTGATGGAATGGTCTTCGCGACGGCTGGCTGGGATAGTAGGGTTCGAGTTTACTCTGGGAAGACGATAAAGGAGCTCGCTGTGCTGAAGTGGCATAAGGATGGGTGTTATGCGGTGGCGTTTGGGAAAACTGATAATATCACGGAGTCTTCGACACATGGCGCGCCTGGAAAAGATGCAGAAGATACCGGCACCGGTTCAGAATATGCAGAAATGGCTGGCGAGAAACCGGAACGCTCGCTTGCAACGGTGCAGAACCAACGGAATATGAAAGTGCAGCAGACACACTGGCTAGCGGCTGGATCTAAGGATGGAAAGATTTCATTATGGGATATCTACTGAAGATGCGAATGTTAATGCTCTTGAGCTGCCGTGATTCATCGCCAACGAAATTATATGCAATGGTCAAAGATGCAGAAAGGTCCAAAATCAAGCCAAGTTGAACTCGCTCGCCCCAGCCATCTGCTCCCTCATCTTGGCCCTCATCTTCCTTGCGGCATCGTTCGGGGTGGTCGTGGACGGCCCATCGTCGTCCCCACCGGCCTTCCGCTTGTTTCCTGGGACTCCTCTCCGCTCCGCCCTGAAATCTTTCTTCGTGTCTTCCTTTCCAGGCCGTAGGCCAGGCACATTAATCTTGCCCGGCCGGTCACGCAAGGCGAAGCTCTTGGCCAGGTGTCCCAGGTGAAGTTCCTTAATGTTGAACATGGTGCGTTCTGCCGCAACGTGAGTTGCATAGGCCCGGATATGAGACTGGAAGGCCCGCCGCCCCATCTCAAGGTACTTCGGGTTCTCCAGCGCCCAGCGCTCCACGTCCAGTTGCCAATCCGTGGCTTTCTCCTCCCAGTTCCTGTTGTCGGACTTGTTGTTGCTGCCGAATCCGCGCTTTAGGATCTCCGTGGCGTCAGTGTGAGTCAGCGCTTTCCCGCCGTCGCGATAGCTGCGTTTGAGGATGTCCACGTAGTTCTCTTCACTGCCCGGCAGCAGGAAGATCTGGGCGCGGCCGTCTCGGCCTAGACGTGCTGTACGTCCAATTCGGTGGAGGTGATCGTCAGAGCTGAAGGCGGGGTCGTACTCGATGACCAGGTCGACGTTGGGCAAGTCCAGGCCTCGGGCGGCGACATCAGTGCAAATGAGCACCGAGGTCTCATTACTGTTCGCGAATGATTTGAGGGTGGCAGTTCGTACTTGCTGGGGCAGCGAGCCATGCAGTCTGTGCAAAATGACGGAGTTCGATGGGTTGGAGAAGGCCGTGGCGTGAGCAATGGTGCCATGGGGCGATAGTTCGAGGTTCTTGTCTTCGTTATCCTCTTCCTCGTTGTCGCTATTCTTCTCTTGGTTTGCTGCCTTCCTTGTAAATACCTCGAAATGGAAATCCACCGAGTCGGCACAAGACACAAAGACAATTGCCTTCATCACGGAACCCTTCCGGATGAACGTTCTCTTCAAGTAGGCCGTCAATGAGACCAATCGTAACTTTGCTGCCACAATTGCATAAGACTGCTTCAGCTGTGCCGGGACGAGGAAAGCATCCTCTTCGCTTCTTTTTGCCGTGGTTTCCCCATCCTCGTCCTCTGGGTCGGCTTTGATGTGTACCGCATCCTTCAAACTGATCTCGCCGAGCCGCTGAACGTTCATCTTCAACGTCGCCGAACACAGAATCGTTGTCCTGCGCGTCGGTACCCCGGGAACACGACTGGGCCGTTGTCTGGCATCCAGCTTCCTGACAATGCCCTGTAGCTCCTCCTCAAAGCCGAGATCCATCAAGCGATCTCCCTCATCCAGGACCAGCCACCGAACATTACTGACATCCAGAACCTGTGTATTATCCAGATGATCCACCAAACGTCCTGGAGTAGCCACGAGGATATTCAAGCCTTTTCTCAGCCGTGCCTTTTCCGACTTCTTTTTCTCGCCTCCGATCACCGTCCCCGCTACCAACCAGTGCGCACACCGGAGCAGATTTTCCAGCACCACAGAGATCTGCTTGCAGAGTTCCCGTGTCGGGGCCAGGATAATTGCAAATAAGCCGCTGTCACGGTGTACGCCGTTTTGGGTATTGTGGTCATTTGCCGCTTTCGAGAGAGCCATAATTCGTTGCACCAGAGGCAACAAATAGGCCAATGTCTTGCCGGAACCAGTTTCCGCTTGAATAAAGGCATCACTTTCCTCCTTCAACAACTGCGTAATCGAGCTCTTTTGAATTGCGGTCGGTGCCTTCAGCTCCAGCTTCGTGAGCAGATGCGCGGCGAGATTCGGTGATAGACCCAGGTTCGTAAAAGTGTCCAGCCCATCAATCAGCGGTGCGTTGGTCGGCTTAGCCTCCTCCGCTTCCTCCTCCGGCTGTGGCTGTTCTGCATTCTGACGCTCCGGGTTGAAGGAGAACAGGGACGACACGATCTGGCGGGGCTTTTGTTGCCGTTGCTGCTGCGGTCGGGACCGTTCAGCCTCGTTTAAGTCAAGATCAAAAGCGCCGGCTGTCTTTTGGCGCTTGGCAGGTCGCGATGAAGGGACCTGAATGTGGTTCGGGTTTTTTGAGGCTGCGTTGCGGGCACTTGCAACGCCGCCGCCTTCTTTGGGCAGGTGTTGCGAGCGCTTCTTTGCGCTTAAACGGTCTCGCCACGTCCCTCCCTTGAACTTGGCTTCGGGCTTTATGACGTTGTCGCCAATGGCAAAGTTCAGGAGCATTCCATCGTCTGCCATGGCTGCTGTTAGGTGGAGGTTGTAGAAGGTTTGGTGGTCGAGACTTTTTTTCTTATCTTTTTTTTTTCTGCCAGGCGGTAAGCGTTCTCCGTCTTACGACCGAGCCCTACTTGCGTGTTTTGCGGCGCGACAGATTGGATATTATATTTTACACTCTATAGAATCATTATTTCAAAGACCATGCTGATCAGACTCGGGGTGGCAAGATGAGGTTGTCGATCAGACGCACCGGCACCTTGCCATCGCCCAGTCCGCAATCTTCGCCCGGCTTGGACTCCTCCAAAGGCGCCATTTTGAAAGCACCACTCAGGACCGCTCCTTTGCTGGGATCAACGACTTCCAACTCATCTAGAGTCTCAGGGTCGGCCAAGGAGATATAGTCGGCCTCAAAAAGCGCTCGTTCCGTTGGCGAAAGAGATTGCTGTTCGGCAACAACTCGGTTTGTAATGGCCTTAGCCGCTCCCAAAATATCTGCGCGTGCGGTCTTGCCTGTCTTATAGGCTTCCTCTGCCGCACTCAGTGCCCGGTAAAGGGTCAGCCCGACCGATCGCCTCCGGTCACCCAAGTAGACATTCCGCGAGCTCATCGCTAGCCCGTCTGCTGCGCGTGCAGTTGGAACTATTCGCACCTCAGTGCCAAGGAGAAAATCCTGAACCATGCGCTTGATAATGACAGTCTGCTGCACATCCTTCTGTCCGAAATAAACACGATCTGGAGTCATGGCGCTGAAAAGCTTCATGCAGACGGTTGCGACGCCGCGGAAGAAGACAGGACGAGAGGAGCCTTCTAGTTTCTTCGAAAGAGGCGTAATGGTCACAAAGGAGCCTTCGCCGTCGATTTCGGACGAGGGCGGTAGTGTAGGGTACATGATCTTGGAGGTTGGCGCGAAGACGCCTGTAATCCGCCCGGGGGCTTCTTGCTTCACGTCTGCCAATTCCTTATTAAGTCCTTCCAATTTCTCAATGTCGCTATCCCACGTGCGAGGATAGCTGGACAGATCTTCGTTGACCCCGAATTGGGTGGGGTTGACATAGATGCTCACAAAGACATCTGTATTTTCGCGTGCCGCTTGTCGGATCAAAGAGATATGACCTTCATGCAGAGCGCCCATCGTGGGCACTAGGCCCACTGTGCGGTCATTCTGCAGGAGTTGGCGGCGTAATTGGCGGATCGGGGAGACATCGCGGAAGACCGGGAAGGACGATGGTTGCCGAAGGGAGTGGGAGGCGTCTGCCAACAGGGACGAGGCCGCAGCTGTTGAACGGAAGAAATCAGTCGGGCATCATCCACAAGTGCGTTGGTCGAGGCATACTTGAGAAGGACCGGATCCAGCGAGACATTTGATGGCTCCGGGTGGTGTGGGGAAAGAAGAGAGAGTTTGGGCCGCGCAGATGATCATCGTTGGGAGGCAAGGGCCACGTGATCGCTGCTTCCCTCGGCAACTCTGAGGAGTGTCATTCGGTGTTTTTGTTGGGGAAACAGCTACCATTTATTTATGGGTGGATCTTGTCTCATATCCCCATCCATCAGAATGGCCCACTGCCTTTACTCCAGACCCTGAAGCTCTTCCCATCTTTACACCACCACCACCACCACCACCACTCACAATGCCGGATCCCAAGTCGGCCATCGCCGACGACCATTCGGCTCCCGACCTGGAGATCGTCGGCGACAAACTGACGATTCACCCCTCCGGCTTCACAGGTGGTCCCGGCACGCAAGACGACCAGATTACCGAACGCAACCTGGTGCGCCATATGGCGCGCTTTCGTGCAAACCCCTTTGACTTCCTGCGCGAAGTGAGCCTGTATATGTCCGGTACCGGCTGGCGTGCGTACGACGATGTTATCGGACAGCCCGTGTTCTATTCGGGATTCACTGACAGAATGAAGTCTTTGATTCTCGACAGCCCGCTGCTGAAGAACAAGGTCACCGAGTTGGCAAGCACTCGCCTCGCGGTGGAGGAGAAGGAAGGGTTATTGGCAATCCACGAGGGCAACTTGCCGCCCGAGGAGAAGCGCGCTCGCCGCAAGAATGAACTTGAAGGCAATCTCAAGCAGGTGGTGGACCGAATGATGGACAACATGATCTGCAAGATGGAAAGCAAGAGGTTCATTCGTGGCGCGTACTACATGTGCACTCAGCTCTTGACCCGTGCCTACCACCAAGGAATCCATGTCTCCAGCGAGGAAGTTCTCCGTCTGAGATCGGTCGCCGAAGCGGCTGCACAGAAGAAACAATCGATTGTCTTTTTGCCCTGTCACAAATCTCATGTCGACTATGTCTCTCTCCAGCTCGTCTGCTATCGGCTAGGCATCGGTTTGCCCGTGGTCGTGGCTGGTGATAATCTGAATATCCCACTGTTAGGACCATTCCTGCAGCATGCAGGCGCCATGTGGATCCGCCGAAGCTTTGGGAACGATCCTCTTTACAACACGGTTGTGCAAGCCTATATCGACACGCTTCTGCAGCAAGGGTTCAACTTTGAATGCTTCATCGAAGGGGGCCGTTCCAGAACCGGCAAACTTCTTTCTCCGAAATTCGGAATCCTCAGTTTCATTCTGGACAGTTTGTTATCGGGGCGGGTTGAGGATACGATTATCTGTCCTGTGAGCACTCAATATGACAAGGTCATTGAGACTGAGTATGCCACCCTTATTGATTAGTCTGTTGGCCTGGAGACTGACGAACATTTCAGATCGTACATCAGTGAACTTCTTGGACAGCCGAAGCAAAAGGAGAATTTGTCCGATCTCCTCTCGTCATCCTCGGTCCTATCATTGAAGTTGGGCCGCGTGGATGTCCGTTTCCACGCGCCATGGAGTCTAAGGGAGTTCCTCACACAACAACTTACCCGGCTGGACATCCCGAGCACGAAAGTCAACCAGAAACTTTCTTATAATGACCGGGGTCGAATCCTGAGAACCCTGGGATACCGGGTGCTGTCCGAGATCAACGATGTGTCCGTGATGATGCCAACAGCCCTTGTGGGGACGGTTCTTCTGACGTTGCGCGGGCGTGGAGTTGGTAAGGGCGAGCTGGTCCGGCGGTTGGACTGGCTCTGCGATCGTGTGCGCGCCAAAGGCGGCAGAGTGGCCCACTTCTACCGCTCGCCAACAGAGATGGTGGTTGACCGCGCATTGGATGTGATGGGGCCGAAGCTCGTGGGCGAGGTTGCTGGCCTGGTTGAACCCACATACTATGCGGTCGACCGTTTCCAACTTTCCTTCTATCGCAATATGCTGATCCACCTCTTTATCACCGAAGCGTTGGTATCTGCTGCTATGTATACAAAGATTAAGCAGGGTGGTGGGCCAACTAACCAACGAATCACGTACGAAGCTCTAAGAAACCAGGTTTCTTTCCTTTCACAGGTATGTACCCGTGCGCAGAAAATTTCAGCGTAAACTAATAGACTCGCAGCTTTTCCGTGGCGAATTCATCTTCCCGCCGGATGGCTTGGCCACCAATTTTGAGAATACCCTGCGGGTCCTTGAGAAGGATGATGTGATCAAGATCACCCGGGACAACTCAGGAACGCCAACCTACGTCGAATTAAGTGACAAGGAACGATCCTGTGGACGCGAGAACTATGATTTCTACTGTTTCTTGATCTGGCCATTTATAGAGGCTTCCTGGCTCGGCGCAGTCTCTCTCCTAGGACTCACACCGCCCCTTGATGGACCAAATGACGCATGGCTCGATATGAAGAAGACCCAAGACAGTGCGCAGCATGTAAGTCCTCTCTCTTTCATAGACAACTGTGACTTTACTGACATTTCGTCTGCAGCTGGGCAAAACCCTCTACCATCAAGGAGACCTGTCATACTTCGAAGCAGTCAATAAGGAGACGCTCAAGAACTCCTACCAACGATTTGAAGAGGAAGGCATCATCCTTGTCTCCAGGAGCAAAGAATCGCGTGCAGGGCCTTCTTTGAGACTTGCTCCCGAATGGACCCCGGAGCGAGACCCAAGCACTGGCAAAGTGCTAGATCGTGGGCGTCTGTGGGACTTTACGGAGCTGATCGCGCAGTCCCGTCGTGAGGGAAAAAACCGTCGAGACGGAGCGACCGTCTCCTCCCGTGTCCTGACCATGTCCGACCTCGTCGGACGACAGCTCTTCACCGGCGCCGCTGCTCCTGCCCCTGGCGATGTATCCTCACGGCAGATGCGCCGCAAGGCAATTGCGACTGATTCCAAGCTCTAACTGTGTTCGTTGGGCCATATGAAAAAACCTATACACGATTTCCTCTGGGCGGTGGCTGTTTCTGAGTCTTTGTTTACGCGTTGCACGGGGGCAGTGATCGCTTGAAGGTGATTCTGCTTCATCCCTAATACCCTTTCTATTGTTTTTAAATGGCGCCAACTGTACATACATCTATCTCCACTGCTACTTCAACAGGTTACAGAGCGGTACAACCGAATAACTATATACAACTTCATGGATTATATACCTATCTCTCAACTATCATGGACATACATGCTCAACATCCCTGTCCCACAGTGACAGACTTGGACCGTGTTCCATCCCCCACACCACCCACAGCCTCAACAACTATAGACTGACCACTAGACAACCCATCAACCCAGATGGAGGTCTCGAATCCATTCTTCAACGCAGACTGCACGACCTTGGACCCCGAATGGACGTTCCAGGAATGCACATCCGTCGCCCCATTCCAGCTCACATACACCGCAGTCTTTCCGCTATGCTCCAACGGACACGCCACAGCATCCGGCTTGGTCGTCGGACGTCCAACCCAGGGGTAGCGGTAGGTGCGATAAGTTTGCATGGTGTTGTCATAACCAAAACGCGCGCGCATGACAATCGCACCCTCGGCATCATACTCTTCGATCTTGGGGGTGGCGCCGTGGTCCTGCAGAGTGTGTCCGTTGCCCAGACGCTGGTAGCTGCCCTGGGAGTTCGCGTACACGGGCTCTGCAGCATCCCACATCCGGCTTTTCAGCGATGCCACCTTTGAGCCTGTTAGTTCTAAGTCTAGCACCAGCCCCGTCGTCAAGGATGTGTGGGCTGTGAACTCAGTGTTGTCGTTGTTGTGTAGGCTCATGGTGATCCGCTCGGGGCTCTGCGACTCGAAGCGCGGGTCGTGCTGGTAGCAGAAGCTTGTGCCTAGGCCCAGCGTGAAGTCGCCGCCAGTTCTTCCCTAAGGTGTCTTTGTTAAAAGAAAACTACGCGAAAGACATAGGTTAGGCTTGTTGACTTACATGAAGATGCCAGATGAGAGTGCCATTAGGAGCAATGAGCATGATGCTACACATGTACCGCGACGAGACAAGGTAATCGTCGCCGTACTTGTGGATGGAGTTCAGATGCGGATACCCGAACGGATCAGTCAAACTATGCCCCTGTCCTTCTAGCGGAGCATACACATTGCTAAGAGGCAGCTCTTTAACGTGCTCGTGGGCACTCCACCGGAAAAGAATCTCGTTGGTCTTGATATCAATCTCATACACCAGACCATCTTGTATCCAGCCGTCCTTGGGACCGCCAATGGCGCTCAAGTCCGCGCGGGTGACGTTGACGGCTGTTACGAGAATAGTGCCGTCGTCGGTAAACTGACTCTCGTGGAGATCGATACACGACTCAAACTGCATCGGCTCGAAGACGGTCACGAAGTTCTGGGACTTGCAGTCTAGAGTGACCCGGTGGATCTCGCGGTAGGAGGTGTCTAGGATGCTAATTGCGCCGAATCCGAAGCCTAAGCCAGCGAACCCAGACCAGTATACCATCACGGGCTCGCCGTCTAGCATCTGCGGCTGCAGAGCAGAGTAGTTTCCTTCCGCACCTCGCCACACGAGCTGGCCATCGTCCGCGTACATAGCCGGATATCCCGTGCTACGGGAGATGTCCTCGGGTGTCAGAAACAGGTAACCGGGCTCGGTCTGGCCCATCTTGGTAACATTCATGAACGGCGCCTGAACCGGCGAGCTCTTGAACGTCTGCAGTGGCCACAGCGAACTAGCGTCAGCCGGCGCTGCACCAAACTGCGCTGTGCCAACGCTGAAGCAGCTCGCGAATAGCGCAAGCGCTTGAGGCAAGCGGGCCAAAGTTGACCGGCTCATCATGGTGAAAATACAGAGAAAGATGGCGTGGTCTCTTAGCTCCTGTGGTTCTTCCTTCCCCCAGCCTGGATCGGGCCCAATTTATGTATTTGTTTTCTTGTTGCCATCGGGTCATTGACTTTTCACTACCCCATTTTCGTGGGGGGAGGTGGACCTCAATTGCTCTCCACATTCCGAATACTGGATTGAAGGCGTAGGAAGTGAATCACTCCCTCGGCAATCGTGATGCTTCTCATGTCCCGATACGAGGAGCTTTCTCAAATAGCTCTCCAGTTGCGGAACGCGCCCGACTATTGTCCCCACAATCGGTGTGGGGTTTCAGGGCATCCCTGGGCAGTAGTAGGGGGTGAATCAGTCAGCTTTGGTGTTCAATAGACGAATACTCTTGTTTTCATAAGACTTGTGTTTATCTAATTCTTCATTCCTGATCCTCTGGGTAGCAGATTGCTCCTATACATGTATGGCCGTTTCTGGTTGAAACGGTGTGGCTCCGCATATCATATCTTGCGAGCGGAAGGGGGCAATATTTTGCAGAGTAATTAGTTTTTGCAGCTCAAAGCCAGTGGAGTTGGTGATCTTCATTGAATGGCCTCAGAAGAGTGCTGGATTGGATCCGTCGGCAAATCAACAGCTCGTTAACCGACGAGCAATTAGCTAGTGGATATGATGTCACGGACGACACACCTCGTCCAAGGTGTATATCGGCCAATTGAGCACGGAATTCGAACCAATACTGCGGAATTGAAGGCATTCCCCTGTTACTTTTCGCGTGAGGTTTAGTTTTCCACAGTATCTTGCGGACAGTCATCATTATTATTGGGGAGGAAGTTCCTTCCCCTCAGAGGTCAGTGTGGGGAAAGATCCATGACCAGGCTCGTGTGGAGAAATCCCTTGTCGTCCCAGTCCCCTATGGGGTCAATGCTCTGGCAGCCTATCACACACGCCGGATTTGCGAACGTCCCTTCGCAAGGGCCTCGAGCTAAGAGCACGGAAGACGCCGAAAATTATTTGACTTCGCTGGGCTGGGCTATCGCCATGAGTTTGAAGTATCCACTCCCGAAAAGTCATGCGACTCCCTATAGGATGTTTGATGCGTAGCTATCTCTGGGTTAGGAATAGTCTATCATTTCGATAATTCGGCTGTGCTATCGGCATTTCGCAGTTCGGGGTGCCTAGGCATTGGCAAGAATGGGCGCGGTCTAGAAATGAGTGACAAGGCAATAAACATGAATCTCCTCGCGCGGCGATAATTCGCCGCAGCTTATCAAGAGAGTGGCATCTATCGATCAGCCCTCTGCCGAACGTTTGGGTGCTAATGGTATCGAGGAATCTAGGATCCCAGCCTGACTGTCCACAAAGGGCAAATACCGTAAGGTACCATGTATGGCGATAGAACTTGGCCCCTCAAAGTATAACGGCCAAAGCAATTATCCTGTAGAGATTCTCTCCGTTTGATTATTCCGCGCAGTTGCAATTGGGAATGCGGAAAACGACCGCTTGGGCCTGATCACCGATCGAGATCTGGCTTCAGTAGAAGCGATAAACTTTGGACATTCTGGTCGATCGGAAGGGAGGAAGGATAGTTGTTACCTAATAAGTATTATCGAATCAAGAGTTGCAACTAGCGGAGTTTATTTGCTTCCTCGCAGACAAGAGTCATTAGGAATTCACAGTCCATTCTCCCAGCCCAATTCTTTATTCCTGATCGCTGTTCTCTTCATCACCGTCATTCGAATCACTTGGATCCCAATCCTCATCACTTTGCCCTTCATTCTGCTCATCACTCTCCTCATCCATCTCCTCTTCACTGGAATATGGATCACTGATCCCAATTCGAGCCTCCCACAGTGCCAGCGCTTCCTCGGCAGGGGTATCGAGAGATATATTCATCCTTTGCAACTCATAAGCTGAGAGACTCTCCATGCCCAAGTTCCGCAGCGGAGGAGTCTGCCAGTTTACCTGCAGTTTCGGGTTGGGCCCCGGAAAAGTGTCTAGGGCTTCTCGACTTGGTCGCCAACTCACCGTTGCAACATAGTAGTCGAGTTGACCAGGCCGGACTTCGTCTCGAACCCAGCGCTGTCTTCCCAACACGGAAGAGCCTGTCCATCGGGAGACAGAGATGGTGGATTTATCCGCAACCATCAGACAGTCATCTGCTCGCTTGAAATACCACTTCTCTGCTGCTTCATTCGCAATGTAGTCCACCTCTGCTTTACGGTGCTCAATGCTTTCGATCTCCATATTGAAGTTTTTCACGCTCTCCGGTAAGATCAAGTCTCGATTCCATGCTCCGGCTATATGCAAAGGCTCGTTTCTTTCCCAGAACCAGGTATCGGTGTATCGGATGGTGATCGTGACGGTCTTCGGGTTGAAGTTCTGCATTTTGAAAATTCCCTGGAAGCGCGATTCTTCAAGACACCATAGCTGAGCGAAGATGCGAATCCGTCCGCCCTGCACTTCGCCATGCCGTTGATGAATCAGGTCAAGCCACTGTTGCATTTCCCCGACTGTGATCACTCGGCTTTGTGAACGATTGCGGCTCGCCATGAAGAACGCATGTTCCGAGCAGAGGAAGGGCATGAACCACGCCTCCATGTAAATTCTTCTACACGTCCGAAGCAGTTCAGTCCATGTTCGGTGTCGAGTCTCGTACCCCGGCCGAGTGCAATAGCCCTCTTGGTCGATTGGTTGAGTGCTGTCGGGGGCAGCTGTCAGGACGTAGGCGAAAATATCATAGCGGATCTCTGCAGGAAGGGTGGAAAATAGAGGACACTGTTTCTGCTCGTCGTATGTGACGAAGGTTGCCGGGGAGGGATTTGGCTCAACCATTTTAGCGTCGTGACGGAGAACACATATTATTTTCTCTCTCTCTCTCTAAGAGATAGATGGGCAGTTTTTATATACACGTTGCTTGAGTCATGCCCGCCTCCAGTTGAGGTAATGCTGCCTGGTCGGGAGCCTGTTTGGGTAATGAGGGGCTAAGTTCAGTGAGGCTCAAAGTCTCCTGTTGCCTGAGGTGTCGGCGTTCACCGCTCTCACCCATGGATAGATGGATGGATGCTGGCTTTTCGCCGGGTCTCCAGACGGTGGTCAAATCTGGGGCTGGCAGACGGGCGAATATGG